TAGATCTCTCTTCTCAACATATAGATCTCTCTTCTCAACATATAGATCTCTCTTCTCAACATATAGATCTCTCTTCTCAACATATAGATCTCTCTTCTCAACATATAGATCTCTCTTCTCACCCATTCGAGTTTGAAACCGAGGTAATCCTCGACTTTGGAAATCTCTCCGCCATGTACAGCGACAGTGATCCCCATCCACACTGCCAGACACTTCAGCTCATCCTCGCCGCAGGTCAACCATGCTGTTACCCCCAGCTCGAGGATGTCAAGCCCGTCCACTAGCTCGGCCCTCTCCTCAACCTGTCGGAGGGAGTCGATCTGCAAGCAGCTAGTCAGCAGGTACGAGGACACGCCTGTTCTCACCTCAGCCGTGTTGATGTCGTCTAGGTGCGTGCTGGGCTTGAAGATGCAGCAGCTGTACTTGAGACGATCTCCCATGATGGGGAAAAAGAACTCTGAGAACATCCCAGTCAAGAATCTTTCTTCCCGTTCATCGCTCTCTCCTCTCTCCTCCCTCCTCTCTCCCCTTGCCTGGAGGGAGTTCGTAGTGCTGGTCATTCGCATCGGCTGTGTTCATGGCGATTGGAAGTTTCTTCAGGCTCTCCACGTACTCCATGAAGCTTGACCGCTGAACTTCGACGTCCTTCGGCACCTTGAAAACGTCACAGTCAACAGCTGCTTTGCTTCCCACGATGATCGCAAGAACGCACAGAGGGAGGAAGGGAGGGGAGGGAGGGAGGGAGGGAGGGAGAGAGAGAGGAGGAGGAATTCGGTGTACCAGGTTTGTCTCGAGGAGCCTTCTCATTCCCCATCTTGTAAGGAAGTCTGCAAGTGGTAAGGTTGTGAGAGCTCGCATGCCTTCAATCACCTGGCATCATGTTCTTCTCAAACAGGAAGATCCTAAGATCTTCAGTGAGAGACGAGCTAAAGATGAGATGGGAGAGATGGAAGGAGGAAGAGCAACAAGGCAAGGTCGTATGAGTTTTTCCTTACCCAACTTTGAGAAGTCGATAGGTGATGAAGACCCCGATCGAGTTGATCAGGCCAGACATCTGAAGGCATCATGATAAGCGCACAAGACGAAGAGAATCCTTTCATCGGCGATGCTGGTATCTCGAATGATCTAGTTGTGAGTCCCTGACCTTCACTGACATCCCTCACGTGAGATCGATCTTCATCATCGCTTCAACCTCTCACATCTCCTGCATCTGCTTGCTTCCCTTCCTCTGCCTCCCCCTCCCTCTCCCATAAAGCGCGCATGGCTCTCCTTTATATCTGAGCGGATCTCATCTAAAACTGTTTTAAGCCATCGTTTAAAATTGCGTATAAGGCCTAAAAATCAGTCCGGCGTTATTAGCCATTTTCCTGCGAAACTCTAAACATTTTGAAATAAGGTTTTAATAGTTGCGGGGAAAACATGCCGGGGATGGGCCGCATGCTGGCCATGGCGGCAGCGATCGTTCCCTTGGCTTCTCCTGCTCAGGCAGGTTTCCCCGGCTCATCACTCATCTCTCCTCTTGCAGCCTCAGACCGAGCCTGTTCTCCTCTCGCTTTCCACTTCCCTGCACCTCCATGCCTCGCCTCGCCTCTTGGCCGGTCCTCCTTCACTGCACCCAAGGTGGCATGGAGGACTCGTCGGGTGAAGAGCGCCAGCGGTGCGTCTCTGCACTCCAACACGCTACTGATGCAAGAAGATTCTGGGATCATGATGGAGAACTGGAAGCTGGCTCTTGAAAAGGCGGCAGAGAAGTGGAGGTACAGGCAGAGGGAGACTTTCGTGGACAACGAACTGTACGAGAGAGAGTGGGTGACGCCGTTATGGATGATCACACAAGAGCCAGACCTCAACAATCTCGTGAAGTATCTGCAAGAGATGCGGCTTAAGATCAACGATGCTCCAGATCAGGTCCACGTCATTCAGTTCTCCAGGGCTCAAATTGAAGCAGCGAGGGAAGCGTTCTCGAGGATGGTGAGAATCTTTCCTGTGCGCGTGTATCGCTCACGCTCATCAGGTGAGGAGCGGAGAGATGAGGCTGCACAGGCTGTGCGAGTTGATCGGGAGCGAGATCTTCAGCACCAGCTACTCCCGGCAGGTTGTTGTCGTCGGCCAGCGCAACGGTACAGCTTCACGTCCTCGCGCTTCCATGTTGACGCTTCAGGATCAGTCGGGCCGAAGGGGCAGGGCCAGCGTTTTCAGCTGGTGCAGCCCCTCTCTGCTGAGGAGCTGTATGCTCAGACAGATCTTGATTTGGGGTCGCGCCAGGTGCGAAATATCTCCAGTGCCTCGTCCTCACACTCGCTGTGCAGCTCGAGAGGTTCATGTGGCAAGACTCGATCAACTCGTGGACAAAAGCTTCACTTGTTGCCAATTTTGTTGAGTACGAAGCACTACAAGTATACCTAAGATGCCATCATGAAGAAATCGACGTGTGATGTTGTGAAGGTGAACGAGTGGGGGGTTTTCAAATGCATCTCACGGATCAAAGCGGAAGAAGAGATATGGAACAAGGTAATACCTGCTTTGGTCGAATTGAAGTTCACATGGAGTTCGAAGGTTGTTGATGAGATCTTCGAAATCGACAACATCGTGAAGAGAGAAAAGCAACTTCGTCATCTCTCAAGGTGCTTGTGACTTTGACGAATCTAGCTCGAACCAGCGCTTTTTAGATTCGTGAAAGACGTGTTTGGACTCAAGATTGTTGTCGGAGACGAGGAACAGGTGCGAAATAATGTTGTGCAGTTTCTTCCTTACATGGCAAAAGGCAAGAAGATGTCAGAAGCAGCTTGAAAATCTCCGATTCTCCGACGAGGCTCTTCGAAACCATGGTGACCATGAATTACCCCTTGGCTTCCTCGTGCCTTGCACATCCTCTTGCACTCTCTTCTATGTTCACACTTGCTGCATCGCCGCGGAGTGAGTGATGTCTTCGATGGCAGGTGTTCCCATCTCTGAATCGTCGAGGAAACTCGTGTTTGTTGAGGTCAAGGATTATCTCACAGAGAAGCCTGATGAATCAAAGACGAGGTGGTTCCTCCTCCTCCTCCTCCTCCCTCTCCCTTTCGTCTGAGATCCTCGATGCCTTCTTGCACTTGCTCTCTTCATTTTCTTCATGCTATGCGCTCATTCTTGCATGTTGCAGCGGCTGGCGAGCTCTCAAGTCCGTCGTGATGTGGTGGGACACAACCATTGAGATTCAGATCCAAGTGCTTCGAAATTATCACAGGGAGCGCGAGAGGATCACCAAGGAGTCTCACTCCGAGTTCAAGGCGAGGAGAGAGGAGCTCCGAGATCTCATTGCCACCGCCAAGCCTCTCTTCGGCTTCTACAGGTGCTTGTCTGCAGTGGGACCCGAATGTTTGTTCTCAACTTGCAACAGGGATCTCTTGCAGTGGCTCTTCCAAACGACAGCTGCCAACATTCACTCGCAAGGGCCTCCGACCTTCAACAACGTCCGCGTGGAGCTGCTGGACTAACTCGCGTGAGTCGAGTACTGATGAATAAATCGATTTGCCAACTTATTAGAGACGCTGCAACAATCGCCGATCACGTTCAACGGTTCAACGGTTGTAGATAGAAAGGTCCGAGCCCGCCTCAGTGATAGGGAATGTTTCCTAGCTAGAAAGCGACTCCTTGAAAACATTTGGCAGTCGAGCTTCAAATTCAGTACCATGTTCCACATTATTCTAACATAAATTTGAATCTTTCACCTTAGATTTCAAGTATGTCTCCTGAAGGGTTTGAAACGGTGCTGTATCGCCCCTTGCGGGTATGGTGAGCGAGGAGGAGCGCATCGTCGATCTGCTCAACCACTTTGAAGATGTCTACGTGCCCATGGTCAGCCATTCCCTTCAATCCAAGTCCGTCTTCTTGCAGAGCCTTCGGAACCTCTTTGCCATGGCGAACTTGGGAGACCCTAAGCCTTTGCTGAGGGAGTTCACAGGATCCCAGGGGTTCATCAACGCTCCGTTCTTCAACCAAAGGAGGTCAGATAGTGTCAAAGTCCTCGATCTTGTCGACTGGGAACGAGATGAAGCTGCTCTGCAAGCTGCGCTGACTTTTTTCTCTCGCCAGTGTAACATCTTAGTAAGTGTGGACAAACAGGATGAAGACAACAACTGTTGTCATTTCTTTGAGTTTTGGAAGGACGGACGCAAAACAATTGTAGAGGACAAGTTAGATTCCTTGAATGACCTTTACAACAACCGTACATTGGTATTAACCAAACAGTTTGCAGATGGAAAGTCAGATTATGTTCTGCTATATTCCTTCCTCCGGCTTGACTTCTACGTGGAATTTCTGTTTCGACAAGTTAAGGCGGCAAAGAATAAGGATGAGAAGTCACATTTGAAGAGACTTTATCTCGAGCTGTTTCAATTCGTGTTCGGACGACTAAGAGAAATTGACTGCCAAGCTCAAAGTCTTTCCGAACGTCTTTCCGATACACCTACAGCAATCTTTGTACTAGGCATCACTGGAGTTGGCAAGAGTCACATTCTCAACCTGATGAACAAGACTCCGTGCTTTACTGTTAGCAATGATGATATGAGCTCGAAGACTTTCTTGCCCCAGGCGTTCTCAAAGAGGGATTTCATATATGTTGACCTGCCCGGGATCAAAGACACTCGTGATCGTGAGATTGCTCTGTTGAACTCTATCATGTTATCTTCATTGTATCGCTCCTTCCCCAAGTCAGTCACTGTGCTGACATTTGACTTCAACGCTTTCCAGACAAGCGGACGAGGCAGCGAAATCAGACATGTTTACGATTTCCTCAAGACGTTCTTCGTGTGCAAGGAAGCCAACGTTGGAAATGATGATGATGAGCTCGATGACATTTCTGATGAGATTTCCTGTCTTGAAATACCAGAGAAGATCAAGAAGTCTATCGTTGTGGTGATTAATCGATACGATGGCAATCGTGAAAAGTTGGATGAACTTCGGAGCAGATTACATCAAAAATTCGGGATCGATGAGGACAAGATGATTGCAATCAGCAAATCGACAGATGAAAATAGCGATACGATCAAAGAAGAAAGACGTGCTCTTAAACGAATCATCAAGGAGACTGAGAGCACTGACATGATGGATGAGGATGAGCAGGCTTGCCAAAAGCATGAAGCTCAGTTTCAAGTTGTTGTGCTGGAAGAATTCAAAAGCATCATGCCTGAATACAGGCAGTACGTGCTCGAGAGCATGTTGGACGAGGCACCTGATACAATCATTCAATGGCATAAAACAATCAAAGACCTGTACCGCTACACCATCTTTGAAGGCTTGGATGAATTTGCAAAGAAATTTGTTGGAATTGTTGTTGCAATGATCGAAAAGAATGATGGATTACGAGAGTCCCTGTTTCAGATTGAGAATGTCAAAGAGGTCTTTGACTCCCGCGATACAGTAGAAAAGAAGACAGAGAGGTTGGAAGCACTCAAGAAAGCACTTGATGAAAACACGAAACAGAAGAATCGGTTGGAAAGGAGATCAAACAACATGGAACCAACGATCAGCGAGCCTCTAAAAAGCATGAGCTTGAGACCAATCTTCAGTACCAAAAGTAACATCAAGATATTGGAAGCAGAAATCGCAAGCAATCACATGATAAACAAGGGAAAGAGCTCAGCGGAGGCATGGATCAAGAAAGCGATGTCCAATCCCTCAGGTGTTCAGAAGTATCACAAGAATTACAAACTTCTGCATGTCATAGCTCAATACAACTTGTTGAACAAAGCGATCGATGTCAAAATTAAATCGGGAGCGGCTACAATGGCACAAATGCTACAAGACTGTGAGACTGCCGACAAACACAACCCATTTCACGTCGCAGCTCTCTACGGTTCGTCTGTCGTCTTCGAGCAGTACGTGGAAGTGCTTTGGGAAGCTTCCAATGACAGAGAAGACTTCTTGAAACGGTTTGTGTCGATGATCGAGCGCATAGATCGCACTAGAAACAGTGTGCTTCATCTTGCAGCTCAAGGGCGTCAGGTCGAGATCATCCAGCTAATTTTCAAGTTCCTGACCCCTAGCGATCTGCCTGGCGAGCTAGGCAAGAGGTGGGCTGAGAAACGTAAAGAACTTTGTCTAAGAACAGGCTCATCAAGGCCCAAGTACTATCCGCTACACAAGTTGTGTGAAAGAGATTGCATCACTGATGAAGAGAAAGAGCGTGTACGCAAGTGCATGAAGATGTTACTTGATCATGGAAGCATAAAATCGTTACTGGCAGACCCAGGAGATGAGGCGACATCGAAGACAGTGCTCTGCTATGCATGCGAAAGAATCAGCGATCAATTTGTCGAGCTTTTGATCGAATACCTCAAACAATCGCAAGCCTCCGATCGGATTCGCGACATCGTGAATCATGATACACGAGAGGGCAATGAAAGATCCAACACCCCTCTGTACTACACCTTCAAGAAAACACGACCTGACAGCATCGAAATACAACGCGCAAAGAATATCGCTCGACTGTTAGTCAAGAACGGTGCAGATGTGGAGCTGGCAGTACGCAAGAACAAGACAAAGATGCTGGACCTTGGTCAGAAGAACGGTTATCTCACTAGCGATGAGGTCCACGAGCTCGCGGACATCAGTCGAAAACGTGGCAACCTCGTCAGGGATGAGTCGCTGCAACAGAACATGCGGCGGCGGCGACAGGACTCCGACGCTGGGACAAGGACTCACAGGAGCAACCGTCAACGCAAGGCCGCTTAGAGACAGGCAACCTTACTTGCTCTTCGTTTATGCTTCCTGCTGACCGTCAACGCAGCTTTGCGCACTTCAGCGGCTTCCAGCTCTATCGACAAGAAAGTTCCTGAGCCTTTTAAGTGATTAAAGGATTAATAAATAACAACCTAACCGTGTTGATCAACTCGTGATGAGCTCCGATCAGACTCTGAGAGCTCATCACGAGTTCCGGTCACCGGCGGCGGGGCGGTACGACGGTCCGACCGCACCGCTGGCGGGCCCGGGTCGGCGGGCCCCCCGACTCTGATATGACTCAGCGGACGATCGCCGACTCTACCGGGCCGACCGGCGCCATCATCAGCCGGGAGTCGCCGACTCTACCCGGCGGGCATTCGGTCACGCGGCAGACATTTTCTTTACTCAAAGTTAAGTTAAAAATCAGTACGAGGACAATCAGGAGAGTCGAGACCAGACAATTCAGGTTTCCATTGCTGCGAGGACGGGGATGAGGAGAGGACTGAGCTTGGTTGGGGGGGAGCGCGATGCACGAAGACGGGATCTGTGCGATGAAAGCGTTCAAGGACCGAGTCTTAGTTTGAGATTCGAGAGGGAGAAATGCAAGGATAGCTGTACTTCATCGACACACGCAAGCGTGCAAGCTGTGAGATTGGGATAGAGGAGCAGAGCTTTCAGTCGGGCATTGGACGAGGGGCGTGGAGGGTGCATGCGAGGGAGCTAAAGTTGTTGTTGTTGCAGGTGTGGGGATAGGAGGAGCATAGGAGGAGCATTTGCACAGCATGTCTTCTCAGCCCGCAAGTGGTGATTATCTTAGGCCGATGAAGTAAGCTTTGACAGAATGAGCCAACAGGTGCCAGCAGCGGCGACAAGAGTCAGCAGCAAGCGATGCAGGCGACGAGCATCAGTCAGCCGCCACCCGCACCAGCCAAAGTCGTCGAGCAGCCGAGCAAGTCAGAGGCAGCACAAGCTGACGCCTCCAAGGTCACGGCTGGGGAGGTCAAGGGCAGCACGACCGTAGCAGCAGCACAGGAGCCGGAGAAGAAAGCAACGCAGAGCCCACATCCAGCACAGCAGCAGGTCGAAGTCTCCGCGAGCAAGAGTCCAGCTGTGAAAGTCACTCCCAACACTGCCCTTCAGCAGCAGCTGTTTGCACAGCAGAGCTTGATGGGGAAGGCGCCGCCTTCCATGCACTCGCTCTACACGGCAGGCAGCATGAAGCAGCAGCACGTGCCCCCGAAGAAGGTCACTCATCATCCTCAACAGGTTCAATACGGGTCTCATGGGATCGTGATGCTTCCTGGTAGACCCCAGCACGTCCTTTACCCCCCTTCCCACATGTCTTACACCCCCCTCCTCGACCCCTCGCTCGCAAGACTCCCTCCAGCTGCACAGAAGGCGATAGACTCTATTCCTGCTGGAGCTGGAGCTGGGGTTGGAGCTGGTGGCTCTGTGAAAGGGAAGGGGTATGCGCCTCCTTCTACAGGGTCACCCGCCGTACAGGGCAAGGGATACGTTCCTCCTGGTGTAGGCCCAGCAGGAGCTGGAGGAGCAGGAGCAGGAGCAGGGGCAGGGGCAGGGGCAGGAGTGGTAGGAGCAGGAGCAGGGGCGGTAAGAGCCGGAGCTGGAGCCGGAGCAGCTGTAGGAGCTGGAGCTGGAGCTGGAGCTGGAGCTGGAGCTGGAGCTGGAGCTGGAGCTGGAGCTGGAGCTGGAGCTGGAGCTGGAGCTGGAGCTGGAGCTGGAGCTGGAGCAGGACCTGGTGTAGGAGCAGGACCTGGAGCAGTAGGAGCAGGAGCAGGGATTGCGGGGGCTGGGATGCTGGGGAGAGGATATGTACCTCCGGTCAAGCTGCAAGCGGCTCTACAGCAGAAAGGAATTTACAAGAAGCCTCCATACACTACTCCAGGAAGCATGCAGCCTCAAAGCATGAGCCCTGGACAAGGAGGAATGGGAGGAGGAGCACAAGCAGGGCTGCCGGGAGGACAAGGAGGAATGGGAGGAGTAGGAGCGTTTGCAGACGCGTACGTCAGCTCGTTGGGACTGGCAGGGGCGATGAATGCTGGTATGATGAGTAGCATGCAAAAGATGAAAGGGCAAGACCCTTCGAAGAATGTGTCAGTGCTGGTGCAGCCTCCCCCCGAACAAATCAACAGAGTGATCGCGATGAAGTGATAGCCTCTTCTTGTCTCTCCGATGTTGACTGACTCTTCTCACAGTTTGCCGGAGGAAGCTCAGGTTTGTTCTTTGTAACCTGTGAAATTGTTGTTTGTATTGCCATCGACCTTTGTGGTGTGTGCAGGCAGCAATGGAGAAGATTGCAGGGAATGGAATTCCAGTCTATTCGCTCGAAGTCGATCTGTTCTTGTAATGATGCGAATGTGACCGTTTATGAAGGGCGATGCGAAGAGGGGAAGTCAGATCAGAGAAGGAGATAAAGTCCGTTCAGAGTCGTCTCAAGTTTCCTCGTTGTGATTGCAAGTTGCAGGTTATGTATGGCAAGCTCTCATACAAGGGCAATGGTTGCAACTGTTACATCTTGTGTGAGAACGAAAATCAAGTGCTTGAGAAAGTGGGTTTGATGCGCTTTATGAAGGTCAGTTCTGACAGACTTGTGCGATTCATTGAGATCAAAACGTTTGATCAGTTGGCAAACAACACATGCACTCGTCCCAAGAGTGTTATCTTCATCTGTGCAACGAAACAGGTATTCTGTCTAGTTTTTGGTTTGTCTGGCAAATGAGTTGCAACAGTCTGTTGCGGACTTCGAGAAGCAGTATGCCGTTCAAACAAAGGTGGTGGACAAGAAGGAAGAAACGCAATCTGCAGAACCTGGGTCAATTGTTCTGTCTTTCAAATCGATTTGATCTCAATTCTTGTATTTTCAGCAAGATAGTTTCATCTGAAACAGAACAAACAGAAGGTAATGAGAGCTTGTGTTTCATTTTGTTGTAATTTTCTCTTTCAGCTGCATCTGCAAATGTTGTAGAAAGAAACAAGTCATTCTCAGCTCCAACTGGCCTGAAGATGGTATGATCCTGGAATGTGAGGTATCACAGATGTTTGACAATCATGTTTTCAGGTGTACATATCTGCAAAGAAGACGAGAAATGTTGCGACATTGCGAAGTTGTACGGAGTGGTAATGCAAAGATGCAAAAGTGATAGACAATAACATGATATATTGTGTTGGAAAGGACCTCGACTTGCTCGTTGAGAAGAACAAGAAGACTTACAAGTGAGTTAAAGAACTTTGAAATGTTTTGTTGACAGTGACTGGAACGTCAAAGAGCTTTGAACAAGACCGTCAGATTGAAGGAAGGGACTATGTTGCAACTACCTTTACCTGGTAATGATGATTGTGATGGTGGTGATGAGTATGGAGGATAATGACGACGATGATGATAATCATGCGGAAAGAGTTTATGTTGGAACATTCAATCTTAAGTGACAGACGTTGCAGGGGAGGTCAAAACGATCACACCTGACGCGAGCGAGAGCAAGAAAGCGATCAAGAAGTCCAAGTCAGACAGCGACAAATCAAAGCACAAGAGCAACAAGACTCCTGATGTTGCAGAGGTAGAAACCTACCTTGTGTTTATCATCATCATCACCACCACTACTATCGTCATCATCATCGTCATGGTCATGATCATTATGATGGTCCTGATCCTGATCCTGATCCTGATCCTGATCCTGGTCATCATCGTCATCATCACCATCACCATCATCATCATCACCATCATCATGCTCATCATTTCATTGGGATTGTAGGAGGAGGAAGAAGCACCTGAAGTGATTCTGTCCCGCTGGAGGTAAATTTCCCCCTCCTCTGTTCCCCCTGTTCCCCCTGTCCCCACCTCCTGCTCATTCTCCTTGTTCTCCTCCTCCTCCTCCTCCTCGTTCTTCTCCTTCTCTGCCCCTCCTCCTTCCTGATTTTCGTCCTCCTTGTGCTTCGTTGCACTCTCGTCCTCTTGCTTCTTTTGATTTTTTGTAGTGCCAACGATACGCCCGAGCAATGTGGGCAGCGACAGGTGAACCGATTGATTGTCTGCCTCCAGCTTTAGCTCTTATCCTGATTCTCTTCATTCCTCCTCCTGCCCTGTCTTTGATTCTCTCCTTTCTCTTTCCCCGCGCTTCCCTCGCTCTCAGTTGATCTGCTTCTCCCCTGACTGTCGATTTGTTGGCGCCCTCTTCTCCTCTCCTCCTCTTGTCCTCCTCTTCTCCTCTCCTCCTTTCCTCCTCCCCCCCTCCCCTCTCCCCCTCTCCTCTCCTCTCCTCCACAATGCTTCTTCTGTTCTGAGACGCAAGCAGGTGTCCCTCACGGATCGGATTCCCTTCAACATCGTCAAGGATACGGTTCTGACCCACTCCCTCTGCTCTCTTCTGCTCTTCCCTTGGTTCTCCTTCAGCCTCGTTTGTTGCCTTCTCCCCTTTACTCCCGTTCCTCTGGTTTCTCTCCTCCTTCCTCCCCTTCCTCCTCTTCCTCTCCTTCCTCTCCTCCCTTCCTCTCCTTCATCTCCTTTCTCCTTCAATTCTCACTTCACTGCTTTCAGGACGTGGCCATGTGGGACTCGTACAGAGAAGAGACATTGGTTGCTGCATCCTTCGAAACGGTGACGTCGCCTGTCTCTCCTCCTCCATGAACCCTTCTCTTTCCTATCTCTCCTCCTCAGCCCCCCTGACGACAGTCGCAGCTCGTATCGAAACTTTTGTTCATGCAGAGTCAGCTCCTGTCTCCAGCGTTCAACCTCTTCTGGCTAGAAAACAAGTGAGGAGGAGGAGGAGGAGGAGGAGGAGGAGGAGGAGGAGGAGGAGGTTAGAAATCAGGGGGTGGTTGACCGTAAGCGAGTCGAGGGGTGAATGGTCATGCGACACAATGAGAGGAAGGAGAATTTTGCGTTGACGAGGGGATGGGGAGGAGAGAGGAGAGAGGAGAGAGGAGAGAGGAGAGAGGAAAGATAGGAGGAGAGATAGGAGGAGAGATCAGTAGTTTTTGCTGCTGATGTCTGAGCAGGTTAACTGAGTGGGTGAGCAAGTGTAAGGAAGTGAAGGATGCAACGGCTTTTAATGAGTGCCTCCGAGATCTTTTCCTTCAGGTTGTTTTCCTCTTCTTCTTCCTCTTCCTCTTCCTCTTCCTCTTCCTCTTCCTCTTCCTCTACCCCTTCTCTTGCTCGCCCTCTTCTTCTGCTGTCCTTCTCTTCTGGTCCTCGGCCTCGTTTTGCTCTCGTTGCTTCTCCATTTTTCCCTCCTCATTTTCCTTGATTTCCCACTCTATCATCTCCCTTGTCCTCCTCCTCCTCTCTTCTACTCTCCTGCTCTCTTACTCGATCCCTTCGTATAGGGAATCGATTGGGAATCCGTCAACCGACATTGGGATATTGATGAGGCAGGAGGAGGACGAGGAGGAGGAGGAGGAGGATCAGGAGGAGGAGGAGGACGAGGAGGAGGAGGACAAGGAGGAGGAGGAGGAGGAGGAGGAGGACGAGGACGAGGAGGAGGAGGACAAGGAGGACGAGGACGAGGAGGAGGAGGACGAGGAGGAGGAGGACAAGGAGGACGAGGAGGAGGAGGAGGAGGATAGATGACAATGTGCGGGCAGGAGCAAGAGGAGGACTCGGGGAACGGTGCTCCAGCGGTAAGATGTGATGAAGGAAAAAGTGATTAGCAGAAAAAGTTGATGAAATTGATGAACTGTGGAAACATGTTGTTGATTTAAGTTCTGCTGCTGCGTTTGATATTGTGATAAGTAGATAATGGTGATGATGGTGATGATGGTGATGGTGGTGGTTGTGATGACCATGATGATGAAACCTCGATGGTAGTAATCGAGGCGATGAAGACGATGACGATGATTCAGGCGTTGGTGGAAACGTTGAGCTCCTCGGAATGTGGGATGAGGATCTACTGCGAGGTGAACGGAAGTTAAAAGCAGAGGAGTGATGACGGACAAGAGCAGTTGAGCGGAGAGAAACAGCACGGCAAACTCTACATCGGTCACTTGCCTTCACTTTTTCACTCAGTGCGTCACTGACTTGTCTTCTGATGAAACAGGAAGGCATCCAAAAGATGGATCTCCGATATGGCTCGTCGAAGTTGAGGTTGTGCATGTGGAAATGAAGACGAGCAATGTCAAAATGAAGATTCCACCTCAGTGATGGTGTACTTGTTGACTGGAATGTCAGATTGTTGACATGTCAATTTGTATCTTGCTCCGCACCATTCTATAGTGATTCTGTCTTGTGTTTGTACGTGGTGATTTTGGTTTCATTTATGTTGACATTTGCATCCTTTTTACGAGCAGAAGGCATCAAAAGGGAAGAATTCAATTTTCAAACTCACTGGAGGAGAACATCTCAAAGCAACATCCTTTGTGCAAACATGTCTCAATACCAAAATCAGGTGAAGATGAAGATAAACATGAAGTCATCGCAGAAAATGTTGTTGTTATTCTTCTGATGAAGATGAGGATGATGATTGTTTTTGTGGAGGATGAGGTGGAGGTGATGGTAATGGCAGTGATGTCCACTTGTTGTGTATTGGAATTTCTCTGATGTCTCGATTGTTCTCACAATGCTACAGTCAACCTCTAAAGAAGATTTTCATCGACGAGACTGCGCAGGAAAACAATTTCTCGAGTCGCTCCCTTTTTCTGATCTTTCCCACAGACTTTGCATGACTGGCTTGTTCAAAATGGTCACATTGACAAGCCTCAGCTTGCAAGCTCTGGTGCCATTGCGCTCCTCGCTGATTTCACTCTTGACGCTTCGACCAAACATGGAGAGGTATCTCCCTCTTCCTCACTTTCTTATCCTGCTTTCTGCCTCCCTCCTTCTCCCATTTGTTTCCTCCTTCTCTCTCCTCCTTCTCTCTCCTCCTTCTCTCTCCTCCTTCTCTCTGCTCCTTCTCTTTCTCTTCCTCCCCTTCATCCCTCCCTCCCTCTTCTCTCACTGTCGTTACGTCTTCCTCCCTCCTCCCGCTTTCTAGTAACAACGCCGGCAGGCCGCACACAGGATACATCAGATTCTTGAGCGCGTACCATTTGCAGCCGTGAAGAACAAAAAGGTCTCCTCCTGTTGCTGCTGCTGCTGCTGCTGCTGCTGCTGCTGCTGCTCTTCCCTCCTCCCTCCTCCTCTTCCTTTTCCTGCTACTACGACTGCTACTACTATTCCCGCAACCCTTCCCCATCTCCTTTCCGCCTGCTCCTTTATCTTTTTCCTCCTCCTTTCCTCCTCCTTTCTGATTTGTTGCTTCGGCTTGGCCTGTATCTTTTCCTATCATGCCCTGTGCCCTTTTACCTCAAACTCGTTTTAGTGAGTGCGTGGGCAGGAGGAGGTTTGGAAGGAATTCTTTGAGAAAGTCGGCAAGGCTCAGGACCCGAAGGTGATGCGAGAAGGGAGGGAGGTAGAGGAGAAGGCGAGGAGAGGGGAGAAGAAAAAGAGAAGAGACGATAGCTGGGTGGGGGGAGGTCCTATAGGGGAGGGAGGAGGTGAGATAGGGATGGAAGAGGTCAGAAACGTTGACGTGGACGAGGGGGAGGAAAAAACCAACATCTACTGACTTGTTGTCAGCCACTTGCAAACTCATTGAAATGGATAGCGGAACAGCTCATTACTAAAGTGTTAGATTCGCAATGGCTTCAAAACTCGAGGTGTAACTTGATGCTACATCTCATGCATGTTTCATCTCTCCCATGTTTCATCTCTTCTCTCTTCTTCAGATCTCGTTCGTCACCTCCCTCCCTCCTCTTCTTGTTCAATCGTGTCGTGCGATTCTCTCCGTCTGATCGTTTCTTCAGAGAGGACTGGGAAGTTCGCTGCGAGAGGTAAAACGAGGATGAACAGGGGCAGGGGCAGGGGCAGGGGCAGGGGCATTCTAGTGGACTGAGCGCGAGCAGATGCGAGAACTGGAAGGAGCTAAACCTTCTTCTCCTGGAGTTTGAGGACGACGGCATCAACTGGTAGAGGAGGAGGAGGAGGAGGAGGAGGAGGAGAGCTAACAAGCAGTTGATGCGATGCAGGAGGGCGGTGGAAGGCAGGATGTCGATGGAGAAGAGCATACAAGAGAAGAGCAGACAGGTTGGCATGGCTGCTTCTTTGTGCAGAAAGTATGAGCTGATGGAGTCGCAGGGGTCGGAAGGGAAGGAAGGGAAAGGTCAGGAGAATAGGAAGGCCTCGTACAAGAAAAAGGTCAGCCTGCTGCTGCTGCTGCTGCTGCTGCTGCTGCTGCTGCTGCTGCTGCTGCTGCTGCTGCTGCTGCTGCTGCTGCTGCTGCTGCTGCTGCTGCTGCTGCTGCTGCTGCTGCTGCTGCTGCTGCTGCTGCTGCTGCTGCTGCTGCTGCTGCTGCTGCTGCTGCTGCTGCTGCTGCTGCTGCTGCTGCTGCTGCTGCTGCTGCTGCTGCTGCTGCTGCTGCTGCTGCTGCTGCTGCTGCTGCTGCTGCTGCTGCTGCTGCTGCTGCTGCTGCTGCTGCTGCTGCTGCTGCTGCTGCTGCTGCTGCTGCTGCTGCTGCTGCTGCTGCTCTTGCTCTCGGTTCTTCTTCATCTTCTGACTTTATCAGCGCGAGTTGAAAGATGCGATTCTTCCTTATCCTTATGGAGTCACGGCTCAACGTACGTTGCCTTGCCCCTTCACTCCCTCCTTGCTTCCTATCCATCTCCATCTCCATCTCCATCTCCTGCTCCTGCTCCTGCTCCTGCTCCTGCTCCTGCTCCTCCTGCTCCTCCTGCTGTTGCTGCTGCTCCTCCTGCTCCTGCTCCTGCTTCTCCTGCTCCTGCTCCTCCTGCTCCTCCTGCTCCTCCTCTTTCTTCTCCTGCTCCTGCTCCTGTTCTTACCTCCTCGTTTGTGATTGTTGCCTCAGAGAGCTTACCAGAGGGATGGAGGGTCACAGTGCATACGGCATCAGTGTGGAGGTTATCCACGACCACCACCCTCCTCCTCTACCAGCACTACCTCCTACACCACCAGCACTACCCCCCCCTACTCCAGCACTACCTCCTCCTCTACCGGCACTACCTCCTGTACCAGCACTACCTCCTCCACCACCAGCACTACCCCCCCTCCTCCAGCACTACCTCCTCCTCTACCGGCACTACCTCCTCCACCAGCACCATCTCCTGTACCAGGACCACCTCCTGTACCAGCACCTCCTCCTGTACCAGCACCTCCTCCTGTACCAGCACCTCCTCCTGTACCAGCACCACCTCCTCTACGAGAACTAACGCTTCATTCCCCTCACGTCTCTTTCGTTTCAGGCTTGATGAATGTATCGTTACGCTCTGCACGCCTGACGGTCTCTTCTTGCACTCCATCGAGGAGGTGACCGTTACATCCATCAAATGAAGTTTCTCACTCCCCGTCTACCACCACCTACCTCCTCCTCTTCCTCCTCCTTTACATCCACCGTCACTTTTCTTATCTTCCTCCTCCTCTTCCACCGCTATCGCCCTTCTCCTCTTCCTCTTCGCTCCTCCCCATCCCGTTCCCGTGTCCTCATCCTGCTCAGGTGCTCAAGTATTACTCGATCACTGGTCGTCTCGCCGACTTCACTGAGACCCTCCGAAGAACTTTCGTGCATGTGAGTCCGTCGAGCTGGGAGTGAGCTGGACTCTTGACGGCTCCATCAGGCAATGCAGGAGGCCAGAGGACTTCACACGAAACGTTTTCAGCGACTTGCCAAGTACCTTGCGATGGACGTCGCCGCCTCCTCTGACCCTGTTGCTCCTGGGCTGCTGGTCTGTCCTCTTTACAGCCTTCCCTTTCTCTTCCTTCTCTTCTCTTCTCTTCTCTTCTCTTCTCTTCTCTTCTCTTCTCTTCTCTTCTCTCATGTCCTCTCCTCCTTCCTCTCTCCTCTTCTTTCCTCTCGTCTCCTCCTCCCTCTCTCCTCTTCTTTCCTTGACTCTCCTCTCAGGCTGGGACCACGCGAGGCGCGAGGCTCCTCGCACGTAGAGACAAGAAGGAGGAGACGCATGCTCTCACCATCGGCTCCTCCCGACAAAAACGAGGCACGAAGAAGGTCGAGTCAGCTTCTTGTGCCCTCCTTGTTATCCGCCTGTGATCCTGTGCCATCTTGTTCTGCGTTTCCTGGGGTTTTCTTTGCTGATCCTGATGAGCAGGGTACAAGCGCGAGTGAAGTCGCCGAGGGAGGAGACGAGAGTAGAAGAGAAGAGAAAATCGAAACAGATGCACTCGCGGACGAAAACCAGAGTCAAGAGGATGACATGGAGGTTGAACTGGAGCAGGACGAGCGGGAAGGGCAGGGCGAGGAGGAGCAGGACGAGCGGGAGGGGCAGGGCGAGGAGGAGCAGGACGAGCGGGAGGGGCAGGGCGAGGAGGAGCAGGACGAGCGGGAAGGGCAGGGCGAGGAGGAGCAGGACGAGCGGGAGGGGCAGGAGGAGACACAAGAGAATGAGGACGAGAGTATGAAAGAGGAAGGAGACAGTCAGCAGGGAATAGAACAATTAGAGTGATTCAAGCCAGTAAAAGTCTAAACCCAACGAACAGTGGCCGGTAGCATGAAACGATGGTGTAGAGGTCGAGGGGATGCGATAGAGAGGAAAGGGAAGAGAAGCGACGGGAGCAAGAGCAAGTGACAAGGCACAAGATAGCCAATAGCGGGAGGACGGAACTTTGCTGAGAGGACGCCTGAAAAAAATTACAGCTTTTATTCCTAGTGATCAGCATCAACCAGGGACAACACGCTCCCTCCCCCCCGCATCTTTCCGTCTGCAACCTTCCTGAGCTCCCTCGCAGCCAGCTGATCCGCATCGCGCGAGGGAGGCAGAAGGAGGGACCCAGTGTCCTCTCCTGTCACGGGGTTGCGAGCTTGAGCAGACAGTCCCAGCGCCATGCCCTCGCTCACGCTGTCCAGCGCGAGTTTGTCCAGCCCCATGTTTGTGCGGCTTTGCCTTCCACCCACTTGCCCCGCCAAGACATCCGCGAGCTCTCGCTCGGAGCTTCTGACGCTCCTGCGCAAGGAGATGACGTTGCTCGAAGACGGCAACTCACCCTCGGACATGATAGACTCGAGCTGCTTGCTCCTCGTCCGACCAAGAAGCCTCTTCCGCGATGGAAGTCCTGCCTCCCTGATCGCAGCATCTGCAGCCTTCATGGCATTCGCCACGTCTGCGTTAAGGGCCAGCCCACCGGCTCCCGCTTCTCCTGCTCCTCCTCGCGCTTCCATTGCAGCAGCCAGCCTGTCTCCTGCCGCCTTGTTGCTTGCAATCAATTCCTTGAGGCGCTCGGACATGGAAGGAGCTGCGTCCAGCTGCTGCTGGGCCTTCAAAAACTTGTCAATCATCCCGACGCTAACCATGGAGTGATGGAGCAGCGCTGGAGGGACTTGGGTCACCACAAGTACAAGTAGACAAACTCCAGCCATGGCGACAAGCAATGCCGTCCCCACTAAGACTCGCACTCTGACCGCAACACCATCCTCCACCTCTGACACCGGCAGCTTCGTTCTCACAGTACCGTACATGCTGATGTTGAGCTCACTTCAAGGCAAGAATTTCCTGTTAAACCTGTCAGCCCTTGAATCTTCGTCAAAACTAAACTCTGCATGACATTCTCGACATAACTATCATTATTTCTAGTCACCAATTTCTTCCCTCATCTGTGACCAATTCTACTCACCTTTCCAGGCTCAGTCCTATTCATCCCTCATGCCTCCATCCACACATCAGTTGCATCCTCCCTTGATCATTCTCTCCACGCTCCCCCCTCCCCCCCCCCAACTTGTTTCCCCCATCCCTCCCTCCCCCCTGCCTTCATCGATCACTTGCTCGCGGGTTTGCTCGCTTCCCCTTGGCTCTCCTTGGCTCTCCTTCTTCCCGCTCTGTCCTTTCTCTTCTCAGCGTCACCTGCATGGCCCTTCGGTAACCCTACCGGTTACAAGAAGTCGTTACAGATATCAGGAACCCCGGGGCCGGCGAGGAACTTGGGCCGGGCCGCTCGCTGCCGCTCCGATGGCTCAGCCGCTCGGAGTGCCTGAGAGCCTCCATCGGAACTCCGATTTGGCAAAAGTCAACTCCCAGTCCCGGCCCCCGTGCTCTGGATGCTCGGGTTTCCGAGTTCACATCCTACTAAGCATACAGTCTATCTCTCAGCCCGGCCGGGCCGCGATCATCGACCGTCATGTGCTCCCCACAATGATCGGATTCCGAAGGCCTGGTTTTCGTGTGGCGGGTATTGTTGAAACTCGGTCAGTGAGCAAAAACTGTGCTTCGTCAGACGGTCCGGCCCAGTCCGATCGGTCACTGAGTGGCGGCCCGGCGCCGGGCCCGGGCCGGACCGGGCCCGGAGCATCTGTCACGGTTAACGGAGACATAACGGAAATCCAACAGATGATGAATGGCATCAACGGTCGGCACTTCAAACAAAAAAGATTGTTATGCACCGGTACTTGGAAGCTTAGAAGTACGGGTAGTCTAACATGGTGTTCGGTTGCGGTACGTGGGTTCAAGTGGCAGTGGTGGGTGTAGGGTAGTCGTCAGACAAGGGGTAGTCAGCTCCATACGGTGTTAGAAGCAAGGAACATGCTATGGAGTTTCGAGGCGCCGTGGGGGTGGATCATCCATAGGGGTGGTCAAGCATGGGGTACTGGTTTACTTAATCGTGATAGAGGGTAGGGTACGAAAGGTCACAGGGTAGGGTGATTCCAAGGAAATCTGGATTCTGTATCATGCTGCTGCATGTTGGGGTGTTGTGTAGAAAGGAGGGGTCCTATGCAGCTGTTGGCCTCCTTTTGATAGCAAACACCAGGTATTCTATTGAGAACTAGGGGGTAGGGGGTACCATGCCTTTAGATAGGAAGGGTGGTACAGAGATTATGTTGGGGTAGTGGGTGTGACTAGACATTGGGGACAAGCGCCACCCTTGACCTCTGCAATGAGTGTTCGGGTGGGAAAGTATGGGGTACTTTCTAAGAGGATCCGTGGGATCTGGGAGGGTAGGGTAGCTATTAAGCGGATCTATACCCCAAGTTCACACCATGGGGTGGGGGTATACACTACCCCTTAATTCAACGTGAAGGATATATCAAATTTTCCTATAATGGACGGGTGGAAATGACAAATTATCCGATTGCGACGGTGGGGTAGTGGAAATAGCACGGGGGTGGGCATTTCGTTGTTTGGAATAGATATTTCAAATTCAAAATTGTTGAATGCACTGTTTGATGTGTTGGGATGCCTCCTCAAGGTCTCTGATTTTCAATGAATTTTCATAGTGAATTCAAGCTAGGGTTTGAAAACATGTTGATGGTCATCCCGAAACTGCAAGGGGCTGTTGAAGAATTTGAAGACAGCCCGAAAAACTTCGAGGGTTTCTGAAATTGAAAAAAAAGGAGTGCGGCGCGCGGCTGTCTTCCTCGGCCATGCTGTCCAGGTAACGAACGTTTCGGCTCATGTTCGCACAGCATGTCCCTTCCTCCCTTCCTCCTCGCTCTCCAAGATGATTTTTCCTTCTTTCACCCATGCGTTGTCTTCACTTTGTCCATCGCCCCCCACTTCCTCCCTTCATGCTCGCGATTCTTGTTCGTTGTGGATCATCCCATCTCTGAGGACATGAGCCATGTTTTTCATGAAATTCGCGGCCAGAAAGTCATTGCAAAGAAGAACCTTCGATTTGATAAGACTTTGATGCTCGATTTGTGTGGTTTTCTACTATGTTTTCACTGTTTGGTTGAAACAATGTGTAATAAGCGATTCCCAACGGTGTTGTGTATTATCCTCATCTCTACTCCTCGCTTTGAGATGTCTCTGTTGCAATGGTTCAAAAAAAATCAAGACACAACATCAAAAATTATTTGAATTCCAACCATGCACACAAATTCGACTCCTGATGTGCATTTCATTTGCCTTCATGCCTAAGAGGTTTTAAGAGGATGATTGCACGTGTTTTTTGTGTTGGTTCATTCATTGAGAGTTCCTGGGATTATTTGTTGTCAATTCTTCAATTATTTAAATGGTGGAAAATTTGTCCTCACATGTAAGAAGTCCCCTTTCAATCCATCGAACAATCACGAATCCATCTCTTGCGAGGCAACTTTCCTGAACTTTAGTTGCAGACACATTCGCCGCACGGCAGTCTCCCTTGCAAGGAGGGGCAATGCAACGAGAAACTTTTCCACTTTTGCGAGCCGCACTATGGGCGCAAGAGCCAACGCTCTCTCATGGAGCAAGGCTGCTGGTATCCGATCCATGTCGGAGGAGGCCGCCGCCAAGCTCGGTGTAGGCAAGATCAGGCAGGTTATCGGTGCCGTCGTTGACGTTCAGTTTGCCAACACCAAGGAGCTCCCAGCTATCCTCAATGCCTTGGAGGTTCAGGATCACGACATTCGCCTCGTTCTTGAGGTCGCCCAGCATCTTGGTGAGAACACCGTGCGTACGATTGCTATGGACGCCACCGAAGGTCTCGTCCGTGGTCAGCCTGTCGTTGACACTGGAAACCCTATTATGGTTCCTGCTGGCCCCGAGCTTCTCGGCCGTATCATCAATGTGATCGGAGAGCCTGTTGATGAGCGTGGTCCTATCGTTGCCAAGACCGCTAAGTCTATCCACGCAGACGCCCCTACCTTTGCGGAGCAGTCGACTGAGGCTGAGATTCTTGTTACCGGCATCAAGGTCGTCGACCTTCTTGCCCCATATGCCAAGGGAGGAAAGATTGGCCTGTTCGGAGGAGCTGGTGTCGGCAAGACTGTGCTTATCATGGAGCTCATCAACAACGTCGCTAAGGCTCACGGTGGTTACTCCGTGTTCGCCGGTGTTGGAGAACGCACCCGTGAAGGCAACGATTTGTACCACGAGATGATTGAGTCTGGTGTGATCAAGCTCGATGGCCCCGGATCCAAGGCCGCTCTCGTTTACGGACAGATGAATGAGCCGCCAGGTGCCAGAGCCCGTGTTGCTCTTACCGGTCTCGCTGTTGCGGAGTACTTCCGTGATGAGGAGGGACAGGACGTGCTTCTTTTCATTGACAACATCTTCCGTTTCACTCAGGCCAACTCCGAGGTTTCTGCCTTGCTTGGACGTATTCCATCTGCTGTTGGTTACCAGCCCACTCTTGCTACGGATTTGGGTGGATTGCAGGAGCGTATCACCACCAACCGCAAGGGTTCCATCACCTCCGTTCAGGCTATCTACGTTCCTGCTGACGATTTGACCGATCCTGCCCCTGCTACCACCTTCGCTCACTTGGACGCCACCACTGTGCTTTCCCGTTCCATTGCTGAGTTGGGAATTTATCCCGCTGTGGATCCTCTCGATTCCACTTCTCGTATGCTTGACCCGCGTATCATCGGAGAAGATCATTACACCATTGCACGCCAGGTTCAGAAGACCCTCCAGGATTACAAGAACTTGCAGGATATCATTGCTATTTTGGGAATGGACGAGCTTAGTGAGGATGACAAATTGACAGTAGCCCGCGCTCGCAAGATTCAGAAATTCATGTCTCAGCCCTTCCACGTTGCTGAGGTGTTCACGGGAACTCCAGGAAAGTTCGTTTCATTGGAGGACAACATTGCTGCGTTCAAGGGTCTGGTGTCTGGTCAGTACGATGACCTTCCTGAGGCTGCGTTCTACATGGTCGGAAACATTCAGGAGGTTCAACAGAAAGCGGCAGAGTTGGCAGCAGCCAGCAACTAAACTTAGCCGCCTACTGTTTATTTTATGTACGACCGCATCTGAATTGACCAGGTCACATGGAATCTGTGTTCCGTTCACCGTTTTTCTGAGCTTTCGGGATAACAAGATGGGTTGTAGTGTTTCTTAAAGCCTCGTTAGAATTATTTCGTCGAAAATGAACAAAAAAAATTACTAAAATGTTTGTCAAGTGCAAGGTAATTGCACTAGCTGAGGCGGTGCAAGGATTCTCGACGCATGAACACACAGGATCATGTAGGACAGTGTTGGCTCCCCTGCTTTCACTTCAGTTCAACTCACCCCTTGCCGTCCCCTCACCTCCTACGAAGAAGTAGTCGATGCGCTCCTTGTGCCAGTTGTCGCTGTTGAAGTATGGTGCTGCATGGTGGTAGCAGTCGTAGCCGAGCTCGGTCTGCTGCGAGTGAGAAGAGCTCGAGCAAGTCCGCGTCACCTTCAGTCGCTGTGTGGTAGCTGAGCATCCGATCCTCCCGTTAAGTCTGTAGGTATGCTCGGTTAGCTCAACCCCAGCTGAACCTGTGCTCACTCGTTGTCCTCGAAGTAGATGGTGGGGAGAAACGCGCTGATTGTCGTCCATCCTCCTTGGATCACTTGCGTCTCGAAACCTTCTGCGTCGATCTGCGTGCGACTGTAAGTGAAAGAGGAGGAGGATAGGCCCGAACCTTGATGAAGTCGCAGGCTGGAAGCTGTAGCTCATCGATACTCATGATACGAACATGCTCTATACTTGTCTCCTCCTCATCCGGCACCTGGTCTAGCCCATCAGGAACGCAAGGATGCTTGTTCAGCACCATTCCCACGCGTACGCTGCCGAAGTTTCTGAGGGCGTTGGGGTGGTAGGATGCGATTGGCATCTGAAGAGACGAGGGGCAAAAGCACTTCAGAGTGAAGCAGCAGGCAACTCGCACTACTGGCATGGCGTCGCTTGAGTTCCCTGCCCCAGCGTTGTAGAGAACGACATTCCACAATCCATTCAGAGCGACATTGGCGGATGCCTGCACGACAAGCTTGAGGTCCAGAACCGACTTAGATGCTCCTCACCATCTGGTAGACAACCCGTTGCGGTTCGAAGCCGATCACGCGACCTGTGGGCCCTACCTACGAGCCCGTTACTCTCCTCCTCCTCCTCCTCCTCCTCCTCCTCCTCCTCCTCCTCCTCCTCCTCCTCCTCCTCCTCCTCCTCCTCCTCCTCCTCGAGTGTTGTCGACCAGTTGTGCTAGGGGGACGGTGAGAGAGCCGATGTGAACTCCTGCCTCCACCACATAGTCGCCTGTCGTGATGTACCGACGCATCAGCTGCGGATCAGCTGGTGGTCAAGAGACGTTGACAACCGCACGCCCATGCCTCACCTCCACCTCCTTCTCACTCCATTCTCCGTAGAGCTCGATGGCGACAGCGAAGTAAATGTCGAAGGGGTTGTAGAGGAGGTAACCGTATCTGACGCTCTTGTCAGTGCGTCGCTTCTCTTCACCGCTGCTCCACCTGTATTCCTTGAGGCGATTCAAGCTCCGATGTCCGTTCAGCCCCTGCTTGCTTGCGTCCGCCTCCCCCTTGATGCAGTTCCAGTGCGCGATCCTATCGCCTTGACAAACCTCCTGGTTCCCCTTCCCCAAGCACAGGAGGAGTTGCCCTGCTAAATGTGCACATGTGGAGCTCTGGGCTGACGCAGGCAGGAGCAGCTTGCCATGCGTTGACCTGGCCGACGATTGCGACTTCGCCAGCAGTTTGATCTCCCGGACAGCCGGGGAGCTTCCGTAAGACTGGAAGATGATAAGGTCGAGGACGCGGCAAGGAACAGGAGGGAAGCAGGTCTCGAAGACGTTGTTGCGGTAGCGGGCATCAGCTACATCAGCTACCAGGGCTTCATCACAGACGAGCTGGAAGGACCGAGGAGCGAACTTGTGCTGCTCGTATCCTGATATGCTCACCCCGCTGATGTTGACCTCCTCCTCCTCCTTCTTTCTCCGGATCCTCAGGTGATACTGACTTTGATTATCCTCTTCGTCCCAGTATGTGCTCTCGTTGCCATCCGCCGCCCACTGGTCGACGCATCCTGCTCTGGCGTCAACGCACCAGTCTTGCTCGAGCTGATCGGGGCTGTCCACCTCGCCGCCCAAGGCAAAGTTGCGGGAGCGATCCAGATCATCACAGGAAACTGGAGGAGGAGAAGAGGCTGCGAGCGAGACCTGATGCGACTGCTTACATGTGGTATCAAGATGAGAGGGGGGGGGGAAGAGGACGGGAGGGATGGGGAGGGGACGCGAGGGGAAGCGAGGGGAGGGGAGAGCAGGGGAGGTTAGGGGGGAGGGGAGGGGGGAGGGGAGTGGAGTGGAGTGGAGTGGAGTGGAGTGGAGTGGAGTGGAGGGGAGGGGAGAGGGAGCAGTAGCACCTGAAGTATGAGGGCAAGAACGATAACTTTCCTCATGCTCATGCTCTGCCTTCACTCGTCTCACACCCTCACCATTGTCTATGCCAGTCACGACTATCACCAGCTCCCTTCCCTTCCTCTCCATCTTTCTCTCCATTCCAACTCCATGTCCCCTCCATGCCCCTGACCCGGTCACCTCCGCCTCCGCCTCCGCCTCCTTCGCAGTCTACCTCTGCTCCCTGGGAAGGCGGAGCGACAAGGTGCGTGAGCAGGGCGGGGCGAGCGGATTGTTCGGGGATAAAAAACCTCAGCAGTCGGGGGACGGAAATATGAGGGAAGGGGTGCAAATGGAAGGGGACAACGCTGGAGGGAGGGAGAGGAGAGGAGAAGGGAAGGGAGAGGGAGGGAGAGGAGAAGGGAAGGATCAGGGGAGGGGGAGGGGGAGGGGGAGGGATATGACCGAGCAAAGGAGTGGGGATTGGATGTGCCATTGTTCTCGCATGTTCGAGCTACTTATCTTCAACTTCCTTTGTACGTTTGACCTGTCACATTCGATTCTTTACATCATTATAATTCTTCTTCCTCATCTTCCATGTCGGAAGCCCCAGGCGAGGAACAACCACAACGTCTGCCGCATGCTCTGTGTTGTGCGAGTCTGCGGCAATATGAGACTAGACGCAGAGCTTCTGCTACTGACCTCTGTTGCCGCACCTGCTCAAGAGCTTGTCAAAGACGGAGCAAGAAGCGGAGGAGGAAGACACGGAAGGAGGGGAGAGGCGGATGATGACAGTAGGGATGAGGGGTTACCGTGGTTTCCCTGGAGCTTCAAGTTGTCTGTCGCTCTCTCCAGCTCTTCCCTGCTCGCTCCCTCGATGAAACGTCGGTCAAACCCCGCACTGCTGCAGTACACTTGTCTTGCTCGGCCCTGCCCGCACGTCAGCAGTGCTTTCACGTCTCCCTTCTCACTTTGTAATATTCGGTTCCTCCAATGAAGTTCCTTGACTGCTCCTCCGACCAGCGGCCCATTCCTACATGAAGCAAGTTTGCCTTTCCGGTGTCTCGGATGTTGATCTCAAGCTCCTGCGCCCTGCGCTTGTTCTGCCGCTCGATCAGCATCAGCCTCTTCTCTTCATGCGCTTGCCGTCGCGTCCTCGTTGTCGTAGGTTCCCTTCCTCGCTCGCAGCGATTCCTGATCCTCTTTCGGAAGGTGCGGGGCAAGTTTCTCTATCATCTACCAAGTAGCAGAGGAGATTTCAGCAACCCAAGACAAGGGGAGGAGAGGACAGGTTAAGGGAAGGGAAGACAGGAAAGGGGGTGAGGAAGGCAGGGGATAGCAGGAAAGGAAGCGAGTGGAAGTACGAAAAAGACAGCAACGACGAACCGAGTCAACAACTCTCATCCGTATGGGTTCTTCCAACGTTTCAATCTCTTTCCTGCAGACTGGACAGCATTTATGCTTGCTGGAACAGAATCATTCTAACGCCACAAGACCCCCCTAGACATCACCTCAACCACGTGTGAATACATGCGTTGCAGAACCTGATCACAATCAGCAAGGAAAGATAACAAGAGTCAACAATCATCACAAGTGTGAGCATTGCAAGGAGGTACAGGCCACCATGTAGTCCTGACAGATCGGACAGACTAGATCTCCACCGACGCATTGAGCATCGAGATACATGTTGGGAGTTTTTGACCCGCGAGGGCTTGTGGCCTGCCTGTTGACGAGGGGAGAAAGAGGGATGCGAGACTTGACGTTGCCCTCGCGATGACTCAAGTTGTCCGACGGGCATACGCGCTTCTGCATTTGCAGACTCTCCCCTTCACCTCTCTGTAGTGAACGTTTCTGCCTGACATTTGTGGCATCGTTAGACTGATCTGAGCAGAATCTGAAGCTCATCATGGATGGAATCTGAGCATGTTTGTTTGTCCCTGTACGTGAAGTGCATCCAAATATGACAACATCTCCATCTCGAAGAATAGTATGTGAAATCTTCTTCCCATTAACAAACAATCCATTCAAGCTCTGGAGATCAAAAACCTCCCAGCAGCTCTCCTTGGCGTCTTGATGCTTTCGGAGACGAAAGATGGCATGGAAGCGAGAAATCATTTTTTCTTCAAAGGGATGCAAGAGACAAGCGTCGACATTGCTGGTGGAGTCTCGTCCTATCACAAAGGGGCTTCGATCCAGCCTAATGTTTGCCGGGATTACATTGGAAACAGCGTCGTCCTGGTGTAGCCTGCACAGACATTTTACATCCGAAGGAGAAACGAAGCATGGTTCTGTGCTCAGAAAGTCTTGACAGAGCTCGGGAGGTCGAGGAAGAGCTGCCAGTTTCTTCACCTTCTGTTGTCGCCTTTTCTCCTGCCGCACTTGTGCCTCGCACTCGGCAAGCATCGAGCAGCTGAAAACTTGAGCCTGCAATCAGAACCATGAGAAGAGCGGAGAGCAAACAACATAACATGTCGCTCTTTCATGTGCCATCGTGTTTTCTCGTCTCCTCCCTCCTCCCCCGCACTCACTCACACTCTACACGCCTTCACACGCCCTTTGTTCGAAAAACACTCTCCAACCGCCTAATCCACTTGAAGCTTTGCTCAATTTCTTTATTAATACTAAAAGTCAGTTAAGATTCTGAATGGGGTCAAATCTGCTGCCTTTCCTGTTCTGTATATCTGCCTCTGAGGGGGACTTGTTTGGTTTCATCGTGTTTTTGGCAGGGGCGAGCGACGTTTGTCATCATTCATTGAGACAGACATGAAAATGATGTGACTCTCAGATCGAAAGTGCGAGGCGATGAGGGTCAGAAGAGTCGCTAGTTGAGGGGAAGAGGGAGAAAGCAGGGGAGCCTTGCTATCTTACAGGTTGAATGAGAAGGAAATGTCAGCCCCGTGATGATCAGCATGGGCGGATTGAAGAATCTGGTACTTCATCCCTCCCTCAGACGAGGCCGCGCTCTCGTCAAGTCTGCCTGGAGGATCCTGATCCTGATCCTGATCCTGATCCTGATACTGATACTGGTCATGATCGTGATCCTGTATGTCACATGCGCCAGCTGCTTCATCTTGAAGGCGCCACAAGCCCTCGACTGACTGCGGCAACAAGAGTCATGTCTGCTCATCCGGCCTCTCAATCCTCCTGCTGACCTTCACGAGCGACTCTACATGCTCTCGATGATCGTCGTCGGTCAGGTCAAGAGGAGAAAGTCCAAGAGACGCGGGCAGCGAGCTTCTCTTAGAGATTCAAGATGTCAGTGGAGGAACGCAAGGAAGGGGGGTGAAGTGCCAATCGCGTTCAGGGAGCAGGGGAGTAAGGGAGGTTTTTAGAGGGGAAGGGGACAGGGGAGGTGAGGAGGGGAGCAGGTAGGAGTGAAGCGGAGGGGAGGGAGAGAGAGGGGAGGAGAGGAAAGTGACTACCACTCTCATGGCGAAGTCTTGGTGACCAACAGGTGTTTCCCTTGCTAGGGGGTTCTTCTCCATCGTTTTATCGCCTCCTTCCCTTCCTCCCGCATGTTGTACAAGTCGAAGTTGATCTTTGAGCTCGCTGACTTGCTTCTCGTACTCGCGATTCTTCCGGCAGAACGTCAGCACATGTCATCATCTTTGACTTTTAACGACCTTGTGGTTCAAGCTTGAGATCAGTCGCTGAGAAGAAATCATCTTCCTCCTATGCTCATTCTGGACATGCTCAAGCTTGTGCCAGATGTTCTTCGCTTCGATCCTCGCAGTTTGCATTCTCGCGTCCTGCAACGTGAAATCAGAATATTTTTTCTTTTCTGCTCAAAAACCTTGGCTGCCATCTCGACTTGTATTGCAAGCAGCTGTTCGGACAGCGACTTGCTGCGAGCGATTTCTTCATGCAAAGCGTTTCTTGCAGCAGAACCTGCATGTCCAGGGACAAACTCTTGTCGCACTGCAAGGCTGTAAGGAGCACAAGAGCTTCTCGGGCGAGAACCGCAAGCACACCTGAAGCCAGGCATAGCTCGATGTTTAGAACCATCTCCTCGCAAACATCAGCTCGCTTCTCGATGTGACTGACGGAAAGTTACAAGAGCAATCAGAAGACACGAATGAACCTTGACATCTTGTTCTGATAGCTTACATGACTTCTCATCATTTCCAGATTTTCTTCAATTCTCTTCAAACCTTTCATCAGTATTTAAAGATACAACTTGTTTCGATAAACCTTAATGTGTTGGTCTTTGGCAATGAGCTGCTGCTCTAGTTGCTCTTTTGCATGCTTGAGGCTTCCCACAGCATTCTTCAGCGCATTCAACTAAGATTCAAGATCAGACAGGATGTGGGTTCCATCTTTGTTGAGTTTCACTTCTTCAAGAAGTCCTCCTCGTAGCTCAGATACAATGGTGTTCTGTCTGCGTTCCGGCTTCAGTAGAAGTTCAAAATTTATCTTGCAACCTTTGTAGCGTGTGATGAAGAGAAGAGGAGACAGCTTGCATGGTGTGCTCCAGGTGCTTGACTCTGTTAAAAAAAACTGCAAATTCTTTCTCCATCGTCCACAAAAAATGCAGTCCGTCCTGATCTAAGACGTCGAGGTGGATGGAGTCCACGAGATTCAGTTGATCTGGGTCAGGAAGAGGAGAGTCTTTGTTTGCGCTTCGTTGTTTAGAGTGAGATTCTCTATCAAGGATCCTTCCATTTCGTATTAGCTTGGATTGCTTATGCTCGTGGTGATTGCGGGCGCTTGTCACGGGTGTATTCACCCTCGGAGTTTGTTGATCAGGGATCGCTGACGCATCGAAGACGTCAAGAGGTTCTGAGCACCTGTCCTCCAGGTCTGACCCCGCCTCGAAGTTACACATGGAAGAGTCTGTCTGCGACACATCTTCTGTCAGGAATGGATTCTCGACTTTGAAATTCTTCCTCCTGCTCTGCGTGTTCTGCATTGACTCGTACCTCGACGCTGCATTGCCTGCATAGGCAGGAAAATCTTGCTTGAAGAATTGGGAGAGCCCTCCAAGCTTGTCGATCAGCCCATCCTTGCGCTCATCGCTCTTTGTCTCCATGGACTTGGACAAGTCATGCAATATGCGTCGGTGTTCGCTCAGGACCTGCTTGAGCCTTGCCCCTCTCTCTCTATGAGAAGTTGCTGCTTGATCAAGCTGCTCGAGCCTCTGCGCATGAAGAGAGCTGACATGAGTTCTGAGGGCCTCATGTTGACTTCTCCTGCTCTCCTGCCAACTTTGGGCGTCCATACTCATTCCAAGTCTCCGTTGATCATAGAATTGCCCCCTCCTCTCGCTATGTCCCACAGACTCTCTCTCTCCCTCTCCCACTCCCGCCTTCAACCTCACGTCAACTTGACTGGCCTCGATTTCTTTTTTCTCCTCCCGCCGCCGTTGGCCGGGCGCCCGGCCCCGGCCCACTCATGCCGAGGCTTCAACTTGGACTCCGCTGAGTACGCGGCTGCGACGGCCGCGGGCGGCGGCCCGATCACCGGGTCGGGCTTCGGCCCGGCCACCGGAGCCACTGGGCCAACGGCAACTGTCCGTGCTACAATGACGTGACGTCAAATCATAAATTTCTCAGACTTTCATTTTTAAAAATCCGCGCCGAAATTTCGTTACCAAAATTATGAAGTGAAAGAACTTTCTACGACGAGAGGCTTTCGGCGCCGGGAACTCCACAGGCTCGGAGTCCGCCGGGCGACCCGTTGAGAACTGACTTAACATCGTGAGAACTACATCAAACGTTCTCTCGATCCTCGCGCACGAAAATCAAGCGGCCCATAAGGTCCTGCAGCAAGTAAGTAAAATTTCGACTCTCAAAACTCGGGTACAGAATCATGCAGCTCTGTGATAGCCTTCTGCGCTTCTTCCACCGTATTATACTCAACCAAAGCGCATCCCTTGGATCTTCCATCTGGTCCTGATGCCTCACGTAAATCATTGTGGAAAGTGAACCAGCTTCAGCAGAGTTGCTCTCACCGTACATGATGTCCGCATAGCGCACTTCGCCTGCTGCTCGCATGTGATCCTTCAGGTCCTTGATTGCTGTCAGCGCAGTCTCGGAGAGCTCCAGCCTCTTACCTGCCACTGGCAGTCCCACGACAAGTTCCCCACGTACACGCGGCGACCTTGTCCAGGCCGTTTAAGAGCAGGTCGGACCTGGGGCCCTGGGCAGAGAGGGTTTAGGTCTCAAGCTGGTAGCAGTCAAATGACCTCGAGTCACTCTGGGCATCTGGACGCGTTGAGGCATGGGCACGTTCGGCCTCATATTTCCTGTGGACGAATCAGAAACAACAAGTTTGGGATCGAGAACACCTCTCATGACGGTGAAAGGTCCTCGAACCACAGCCGGATTGTGGTTGACGCCATTAAAAGTGACTTGAGTTACGCCATTGTCTGAAATCGGATGAGAAAGTGATTTAAACTCATCAATTCTCACTGTTGCTCGAAATTCCATTCTCACGATCTTCACGCACAAAAATGTTTCTCCCCAACAAATCCTGATCAACGACTAATCATTCAAACAGCAGGGATCAAATCACCACATACTACTTACGGTGTGGTTAAGTTCATCAATGGCACGCTGCGCTTCGGCAGGAGATGAATACTCAACAATCGCGCATCCTTTGCTGGATGAAACAGAGTCAGAAACCCTCCTCTTGCACGTAAAAGTCTATGATTTCCAACCTTCTGCCTACAGGGTCCAGGAGAACATCGACATGCTTCACGTCCTGCAAGGTTGAGGTTGCATCAAATGCAAGATGGTCTACAGAGCCAGGTTCACCATGTCCTGATTGGGTCCGCGCATGTGGTCTTTCACATCCTGTTTACCCAAGTAAGGCGAGAGAAGGAAGCATTCGGCTCATTTTCCTGCCAAGCAGCTTCCCAGCTCAGGTTTCCAACGTACACCCTTGAGTCCTCTCTGTCCTCGCGAACAAAGATCTTACGCCCTCTTATTTCCTGAAGTGTGTTCAGTCTGAAAATTGAACGACTGCGTTATGCGCACAGTATCATGAAGCTCTTCGATTGCTCTTGTTGCAAATTGAGGTGAAGAGTATTCTACGAGGGCACATCCTTTGCTGAAAAACTTGTCTCAGGGGAATGCAACCCTGGCGATGACGCACAGAACCTTCTTCCACCACTGTCGTACATCACTTCTGAGTATACAACGTCCTTTCACAAACTTTCAGGAAAGACTGCCAGACATGAGCAACGAGAAGTAGCACCAGATCTCCTCCAGGTCCGCGCATATGATCTTTCAGGTCTTGCCATGAGCATTCCCATGAAAGATTACCCACGTACACTCGAGATCCCGGAGGCCCTCTGTGTACCCAAAGTGTCAGAACAACCTTAATCATCTTCCCACTGACAACATGGGACCATCCAAGACAAGAATTTTTGAAACAGATTCCAAAAGATTGCTTTTCATGAAGTCTGCAAAGATCCCCAAAACACAAAATTATCCACAGACAATTCTCGACATCGTTGATGACGCGACAGACAACAAGAAGGTATCTCATGTCATATCGCGAATCGACGTCATGCACGAATGGCTCGAATCTCTGGGACTCTTGCAGTCGCAAATATCATGCATCCACCTCCACCACAACTCAAATGTAACAGTCGCCCAACATAACAGATATTGCAACAAAGTCTGGGTTGTGCAACTCATATCACAAGGTCAAAGAACTCAGCGGACAAAACAGTGTATTTGAGACCTGACTCGTCTTCGGATTGCGTTTTCATCTGTACCAGGTGCCCCTCCAAGCATTCTTTTTCTAGAGCTCAAGGCCATATCCCTGTGCAAGGCCAGATCAGACACAATCATATCCACGTTCTGGTGTGTTTCATTCCAAGACACGTTATCTTCGTTTCTCATGGCATCGCGAACACTACAATCAGTTTCTTTCATGCCTCATGCGCACTCAACAATCAAACGTATTTGGGGTTTCATTCCAAATCAACAGATCAGAATCAACGTTTCAGCCACGACAGATAGCTTGGATAGATACCCAGGAAACGAGCAAGGAACAGCAAGACGATATCAAGTCAAGCAAGAGATAGGCGCTTGGCAGGAGGTCAGTGCTCAGAGCCATTGAGCGCTGCAGCTGCCATGGTGAGCTACGTTGACCATGTGCTGCTGTCGAGGACCGAGGGAGGCAGGACTGGAAGAGGAGAGGACATAACAATCTCGCTTTCCCACTATTCTCGCTACCCCCAACCCCCTGGAACATGCTATGCACCCTATCTATTCCCTTTGAGTACCCTCTGATTGACACCACCCCATTCACCCCACCCACCTTTTTGGATGTCACGTTCGGCCATCCATCTGTTCGCTTCACCCTACCTCCATGTTTAAAATCGATCCTTGTACCTCTACCATACCTTTATCACCAATAGTTCACTCATATGAAGGGGTACTGTCATTACCCCACCCTTCCCGCCCAGTCCTCTGCGCCCACTGCCCTTCCCGCCAACGTGTACCCTCATCACCCTCTCCGACCCGCCTCCTGGTTGAGCAGTGTTGAGCAGCTGGTTGAGCAGCCAGTTGAGCAGCCAGTTGAGCAGCCAGTTGAGCAGCCAGTTGAGCAGCCAGTTGAGCAGCCAGTTGAGCAGCATCGGCACCAGCACCGGCACCAGCACCGGCACCAGCACCGGCACCAGCACCAGCACCGGCACCAGCACCGGCACCAAGAGCTCAGCTCAGCTGGAGCAGTGAGGGTGTAGACAAGCGTGTGAGGCTTGTGAGGCTTGTGAGGCTTGTCAGCTCCTGCTGGAGACCAGGTACTGCCACATCCTCTATCCTCATCTATGCCAACCCCTCCAATCCCCTGTCGGATTCTCCCTTTCACACACTTCCCTCTTTCCCCTTCTCCATCTTGTACTATATGACTTGCCACCCCCTCCATGTTTTCACTCCCTAGTTTACACTTGGCTCGCTCCTAATGCCTGTTCCGCTTGTTCTGCCTCACTCCACCCCTTACAGATGCTGCGCTTTCCCGTGCGGCAAATGGTTGCAAGACATATGTGATATCACCTACTCTCACTGGTCTCAGCGTTGATGGAGGAGGATATGGCAGCTTCAATTTGGACAGCCTATCCCGTCACGGGCAAGCTTGCGCTGGGTTCACTCTGCCTGCTAGCTTGCAATCAGATATGGAGATTCGCAACGCCCTTCTTCGACGTTCTGACTCGCTTTTCCACGTCCTCCATCACAGCATTTTGTATGACTTTGTGTGCGGGATGGATCACGTGGCAGACTTGCGCAGAGACGTTGTTCGGTTGCTTCTTCTTGTTTCGGATGAGGCTTGTTGAAAGTCATCTGGGGCGCTCGAAGTTTCTGCTCTTGTGTTTCCTCGCAAGCTTTGCTCATGCTGTGATGCTGTTATTAGCATTCTTCCTACCTCTAGGAATAGAATCTCGCCAGTTGTCAAAGAGCGGCCCCTTAGTCCTGTACTTTTCTCTTCTCAGTCGCTACTTGTTTGAAATCCCCGTGAAGGTTCGCTTTTCTGTCTTCACGTTTGGAATAGACAACAGATGGTTTGAGATCCTGCTTTGTTCTCAGCTGCTTTTGTATAGATTGCCGTTCTCTCTTATTCCTGCTGTGATCGGGCTCTTGGTCGGATTGATATTCAAATGTGGTTCACATGTCTTTGCTGAACTGCCAAGAATGAATGTGATGTCTTCATTGTTTTCTTCAATGTCTGCCATGTCTGGGCATTCTAGAAGGGAGTTGGAGAGAAATTCTTATCCATCCGTCTCATACTCTCCAGTCCAAGCATCATCAGGCTTTTCTACAAGTGAACATGAAAACGATGGGAACAATTCAGATTTGAATAGCAAACAAAGCCAGAAAAATCTGACAGACCCGGTAGATGTGGGCATAGATGAAGATTCCGAGCTACAGGAAGCCATAATGTTATCCTTGAGGAAAATTTGAATCCGAAGTTTCCTTTCTATGACACTGCATTAAGATTGTGCTGTGTTGTAGTGTTCAAAACTGAGTAGCTTTTTTCGCTTTGGTTTTGAAAGTGCATGCAGATTCAAATGACTTGTCGCTCTGGAACATGATAATACAGCCTCAAGATATTGGTTGGGCAACTTACAACAAGTTTTTATGTAATGATTCAAAAGCACAGGCTAGAAATTTCCTCTCGACTTCATGGATGTCGGGTGGTACGCGAAAATCGAACGTTTGCCTGTTTGTCATGATCTTCGATGAAGAAAGCAGACTGGACATGGATCTATTGGTCGCCAAGTCTTTGCTGCCTGGTGCAGGGATGGGTCTTTTTGCTTCTCGAGACTTCATGGAAGGGGAAACGATATGTCGATATGAATCGCCCCTAGGGACTCTGACTACGAAAGAAGCCATGCAGCTTGAGGTGGATATGTTGCCGTGCAAGACATGAGCTGATGGTAAAACAGGACAAGAGCTTCTTGATGCGCCTTGGACCCCAGAAATACATCGACCTCAAGTGCCTCCCTCCCTCCTCGCCCACCGAAACTCATGCGATGCCAGAAACTTCCCGGAGGTGAAGGCAAGGTACATCAACGACTGCCGCCAAGCCGATCGACATAACGTCCGCTTCCAGAAGAAGCCTGGTAAAGCAAGAGGTCATGATTGAATGGTCTGACCGAAAGGCAGACGATGGCTACGCAGATGTCATCGCAACGCGCGTCATTCATTCTGGGGAAGAGCTCTATGTAGACTACGGGAGGCTATACTGGTTTGGGTCGAAAACTCTTCCGTCAAAGTTGGCAGTAAGGAGTGAGGATTGACTTGTTCACCGAGCGCACAGCAGGAGTGAATCGACTTGCGGTTGATCTCTCAATTTACAGCTGATGATCATGCGCTTTTGTTCCGGACCCGAGTGAGGAGACTGACCACCAACCTGGTCAAGAAGAAATTCTGTGGACATGTCAGAAACGACGGCACAAGAAGGTCTCGTATTTCACCCTTAAGAGATCACCCACGAAGGATAGTTTTCCTCCCAGACCCCGGTGTTTCTGCGACAGCAAGTCAGGCGTGAGACTGCGAGGTTCTGCTGACCTTGTGCTCGAGGAGAGGAGCAATGGTTTTCCTAACTTGTGCATAAACGGTTGCGATGGACCCCTCGTCTGCTCGGATTCTCCTGCAGTGCTGGTTATTCGATGATTGTCCCTCGCTTTGACTGACCTGAGCTTCTTCTCTCGCTCGAATTGAAGCACTACTGGCATCGTTTCCTGCTCATGCTTCAGCAAGCCCAACAGTAGATTCAGCACCAACCGACTGATAGACCTTGAAACGCTTTCTAATCGATGCCTGTACAGCAGCAGCTTTCACCATCCTCCTCCGTCCGATCCTCGCTCACCTCATTGTCGTCAACCCGCCCACTGGTCTCTCCTCGCTGTTTCAGTCGTTCAGTCATCACCTGCGGTCATGGTGAGGAGCCAAAGGACCTCGGGGAAAAGATGAAACCTCCTCGCTACACTCGAGGAAGACCATGAATTGCACGTTGACGTCAGTAGCTACTATCTCATTCCAGCCTCGCAGATTATCCTACGAGGCCGCGGTCACAACGGAAGTATACCAATCATCAGGTGTTCTCTCACCATGTTCCGCGGAAATCCATCAATAAGAAAAACATCAAAACGATGCCTACAAGGCGAACCTATGTCAGACATACGTGAACTCAGTCCCTTAGTTTCTCTGACTTGTCTTTGTCAATCGCTTGTTTTAGTAAGCGAGCTGTGATTTCCACCTGCTTTGAATTGAGCAAATTGAAATCATTGTAATCAAAACGCACGGGAATGATTCTTCCCTCCTTCATGTATTGGTCGATCATCTCGCCCTGTGAGGTAAAGTCAGCGTCCTGTAATGCCACGAGAGATAAAATCCCACTTGAGAGGTTGCAGACTTTCTCTCTTCTCGAAGGAGGTCGCCTGCAGAGAGATGGCGCATCCGACGAAATTCTAATCGCGACCTTATCATCACGCTGCCTTCCCCTTCGATTGTATACCTGCTGTAAGCTTTCCGCATTGTGTTCCCTTCCCAGATCCAGGACCGCCAAGGATGAAGACAACCTGGCAAGTGTATTGTCGGCCGAGTTTGACTAATCACAGTAGGGAGCATGTAACAAAGGAGTAAGGGGAGCCGAGGAGTTTTCCTCAGGCAGAGGAGTACATCTCATTGGAACAAGAAATGCTAGGAGAGAGATTTGGAATGAAGGCAGGACCTGAGGTCTGACGGAGGTGTTTTCCTTGCTTGATTCGTCAGGTCTCATGCTCGAGTCGTTGCCTCCCGCAGACACGAACGCGCGTAGGCTCTGCTGCTGGTCTCTGAAGCGTTGAGGAAGCAGCCAACCCATGCAGCCCCCTCTCAGACGGAGGGGAAACTTCAAGCCTGGGAGCGGAAGCAAGCCAGTGGTCACGAAATCTTTTAGAAGGTGCAAGCAAACACGAGTAGTTCGCACCAAGTCGATTCTGAGCGGCGGGGGTTCGGAGGCATCGCAGCGCACTGATGTGTGATCGAGCACAAGAGAATCTTGCATGGCCAAGAAGTTTCGGTGTGAGACAGGAGCCCATGCTCGAACTTGATGTCCTAAATGTTGTTGGAGCGCTGCGAAACAGACCAACACATCACCAGGGGATACAAGAAGAGCAAAAGAGGAAGAAAAAAACAACAAAGATGTATAAGTACCTCCAAGAATGTGCTTGGTGAACAAACACCGTGAAGTAAACAACCGTGAAGAAACAATACGTCAAATCTCTTCTGAAAGTAGCGAAGGATCCTTTGACCATAATCCTTCTTCTCTTGCTAGCTGTCTTCCACGCAAACCCCCCCTGCAGCAGCATCAATGTCAACAATCTACTTCTCATTTCCGATTCTTTTGTCCATTTGAATGAAAATCGCATGGCAATTTTCTATTTTGCAATTTTCTATTTCATCAAGCATGATTCTCGAACTCCTTTCAGATTCTTCAATTCATCACAATCAAATAGACAAAAGATTTGACATCACAATCTCTTCAAGGATTGAACCAGCATCTTATTTTCGACATATGAAATGTCATTTCTCTTCATGCGCTTCAATCCTATGCATAAACTGATCGCCATACCTTTCAATGCACCTAACCATCGTGATCTCTTCTTGTCATGTTCGCTACTTTCCCCCTCCCTCTTCATCCTCTTCATCTGCACTCTTTCCCATGTTGAGTAAATGTGGTTCGCCCATGTTGATGCAAGACTTTTCCCATCTCTAACACCTTCCGCTCGTCTTCACGGACTGTTTTCTCTCCCTTCTCCTGCTGTCTTCAAGTTTTCGCCCGTCTTTGCTTCTCTTCTCTGTCTTTCCTCCATCTTCATCCCTTGTTCCCTCCTCCTATCTATCCATGAAAGCGGTGGCCGCCACCAATCCATGCTGAGTATAAAGTGATGGAGGTAGGGGGTGGCCATGTACCGGGGTATGTTTAGAGAAAATACCTATAAAAGTGTACCGTAGGGGTAACCCACCCTACTCTAGACTAGAGAGGCCACAAGAGGGTACGAAAACGAAAAGACAGCACGGCCCAATAAAGACGATTTGACTGCTGCCCATCAAATTAATTGATATTTTCACTCAAACAGAGTCACAAGGACGGGGTGGGTGGTCAAGTCAGTTGTAAGAGACGGTCAAGTTGAAAGCAAAGATGAGCAGCAATCGAGAAGCGACGCGTGAAAGGAGAGTGAAAGTTGAATAGAAGCAGCGCTGAGCGTATGAGTGAGATTGATGTTGAGAAGAAGAAGATACACAAGCTGGGTGGGATTGTTTATGGCTACAACCGCAGTAAAACAGAGAGCATATAATGGGACAGAGACTATTTTTTTGACTATGTTATCAGCCGTTTTTCAAGTGCATGGGGGGGACAGCAAGTTCACCTTTAAGTGCCACCTGTTGTGGCGTCGGTAAGAATGATGACAAGCTTTTCCTCTAGCTCGTTACAAATCCTCACAACATCCTCAGCGGGAATCGAAGACCTCTGCAGCAAGTCATCTGAATCTTCTCTCAAGTATCTTATACCTCTCAAGTTTCGCTTTTTCTATTCATGTTATGCCAGGTTCAAAACACGTCAACGGGGAGAAGATGTACAAGTCCGAGGGTATGAACTCCGTCTTAGTGAAAAAGCAATGCCTCTTGGTCTGACATCAGAAAAGCTGGATGCACGCTCATGCCAATGGAAATTCGGGACTGCAGTCCACCACTGTCCCCAAGTGAGAATGCTGGCAAAATTGCAACGCCATCATTCACAGACTGAATGATTTGATTGAACGCACCACAACAGGATCGATTCATATCGCTCTACGATGATACACAAGGTCTGATTTGCATTTATCACAATGGACCTGCACTAAATCGTGAGCTATCGTGTTATCTACAGGCAGCAGCCTCCGACGACACGACAACCATTCGGCTCTTAGGCAAGGAATACGTTCACAGGTTTGGGCGGGTGTCGACGTCTACTCATGACGATATTTGGATTTCAGCCTGGATGAAAAGGGACACACTCCTCTCCATATTGCTGCCGCGACTGGAAGAATCTCAGCAGCAAAGGAGCTTCTCGGTAAAGCAGAGAGCGGACAGCGGAAACAGTCTAACAAGCCGTAGCATGTGGAGCGTCTGTCAATGCTGTGGATCGACGAGGTCACACCCCAGTTGACCTTGCAATGATCGGGGGCCACCATCAGGTGATTTGCTTCTTGGGTGCGACTCGCGAGACTCAAACGTATACAAGATGGCATCCTTTCTTACCCGCCAGTCTACATATGCCTCGACGAGTCCGAAGGGGTTACCTGTGCCTGCCTCAATATCGACAAAACCCCCTCCGCAAAGCCATGTTATATCTCACATGATTCGAAATGCATGTTGATTTATTGAAGATCTTACAAACAGGAGTCGTTGATGACAAGGTTGAAACAGCAGGAGGAGGGCGCTGCTTTACGACGTCAGAGCGCTTCCGAGCAAGTCTCCTCTATTGATGGTTACGCTGAGCTCCTTATCGTTGAGAGTTTTTTGACGTCTTCACTTGACAGAGCCCTACCAAGCAGCTGGTGGAAAGGACACAAATGTAGATGCAGCTGAAGGCGCTTCTTTAGCTTCCGAGAATGAGGCGGCAAAGAAAATCATCGTGACCACGATGGTTTCCCAAGAGGAAACTTTTACCCCATCGCTACAAAAGCCCCAACAACCTGCCCTGCCCTTTATGAAACTCAACGCTGCCAGATTTACCTCTCCTCCTGATCAAGCACCGGCTCCCAAGGTACAGATGATGGTAGGTTGTAATGGAAGTGATGTGTTTGAATTCGCAGATCCCGCGCCTATGGGCTGCAGGGAACACCCCGCGCGTCGATGGTGCCAATCCTCCAGTGAAAGTATCCGAGAGCATCTCATTTTGTGCCTAAATTTACAGCATCAGGGTCACAACCAGAGTCATCACAATCTGGACATTACAGGTAAAATTTGAGGAGGGGTATAGCCGCGTGAGTCAGTTTCAGGGGTTGTTCAAGTTACTTTAAAGCGCGTGTTTCCTCCTGGCATCATTCCTCCCAAAGGAGCTATGGCTGGGATAGGAGTGCAGGTGATGTGCTCACAAAGTATTCGAATCACATCAATTTCTGATGAAATGCTCTCAGATTGAGATGAAAGAATTAGAGGATGAGCCAGGCCAGGTGACAGTTGTTGTTGCCCTCTGTTTATGACAATAGTCCAGTTCATTCATGTTGTTCGAAAGCTTGCTCCTGGAGGAACAGCATACGAAAGGTGTAATTTTTCGTCTCAGAATATCTCTCATGTTTGCCGTGTGCCATTTTGAATTCAATTGCTGTTGAGTGACTAGTTTCGTTGAACAGCGGGAATGTTTTTGTTGGAGACATCATATTAGCAATCCAGGTTCAGTTTCATAGCGACAACAATAGTTTTTCATTCCTCTTTTTCGCAGGGAACCTCTGTTGAAAACCAGCCTCTGAGCACAGTGATTCAGGTACGCGTTTGCTGGAGCGTACGGTGCTAATCATCCTGCAGGCAATCACTGGACCGCAGGGCTCCGATGTCACGCTCATTCTTTTCCGTGAAGGTCTGTTGAATCCAAATGTATGCGACATATTTAACAAAAGCAGCAGAAAATACAGCTCAGCAAGCAATTCAAGCTTGAGAAATAATATCGTGCCATGAAGCAAGCTGTCAGATGGTTAGATAATTTCCTATGCTCTGCTAAATAAATTTATTTTTAGGCCACCTGAACATTTCTTTCTTGAGGATTGAGTAAGCAATCATTTACTAAATTAATGTACACTCGTTACCCTAAAGACAAGCTGTTACTTCTATTCTAAAACTGTCGAGTCACTGTCATTACATCAAAGTGATCCTGGCACACGGGTGAATTCTTTCACCACTTCTCCATCTTTTGCATCAGGCGGAGGAGGCTGGTCACTATGACGACTGAAAATTTGATTGAACCACGAGAACGGAGGAGACGTGCTCAGTTGAAGCATGTGATCCGGAGCAGAAGAAACGCGGTCGGGAGGAGAAGGCAACGGAAACTCTTCGAGTGTCACCATTGAATCGTGCTTGGCACGAGAATGGCTGAAGTTTGGAGTCATCTGAGGGCACATGACTTGTTTTGAAGTGAAGCAGGAAGAAGATCAAGATCGGCAAGAGAACACGACTATCGCGCAGCAAGAACGGCTGGAGCAGTCCACACAAAGGAGGCCAAGGGGAACGGATGGGATAATCCGTTGATGACGTGCTGTGAAGTCGTAAACCACCCATGGGGGTCAATTTGCCAGTCAATGAGGGACAAGCAGGGGTACTGCTTAGGCTTGTGGGGGTGTAATTCAGTTGTCAGCAAACGCTATCTTAAGACAGAGATACGCCTTATGATTATCATTGTCAACGAAAAGATCTAGTTTCAATTTTTGTTCGTATGGACGTGACGTCGGATCGGGGAGTGCAAGTCACGTACTATTCAAATTTACTCATCTTGTATGAGTAAACTTTGAGGTAATGTCGTACCGGGGGAAACCACCTAGAGCCAGCCGAGTGGGTTTACGGTTCTTCCAGGCATCATGGCTGCGCGCCAGGTATAGGGGAAGCCGCCAGGGCGCGAAGGAAGCTGGGAGCAAGAGTTTGGTATAGTTCAAACAGCTTTGAAGGCTCTAAGTATGCATAGCGTTGCCTTTCCTGGTTTTAGGGTTAAGGGTTTAGGTATTCCTGTCACTTGTGTAGCAGTAAACGGCATGAAGAAATCCATGACGTTTATTCAGATCTTACTCAGATCTCCATGACGTTTATTCAGATCTTATGGCTGATGGCACAGACACGCATTGACGTGATCCTCTGATGTCGTGTATGTCGTGTCTACAGCCGGTACAACTGTACGGCATCGTGGAGCAGCCCCTTGTCCTCGACCTAAACGCCATCAACGCTAGCTCTGTCAACGTGCTCGAGCTGACATCGCCTGTGTATGTGTTTGACTCGTTCGGTCATGCTCGGCGATCATTGGTCCAGCAGCAGACCTTGACGTTTAGCAGTGCATATGCCTGCTCGATCTCAAACAGACCTTCCGTGCTAGACTCGACATGGGGTCAATTCACCAGCTCAGCAATGTCAGTAAGTCTGTTTCTTAATGACACAATCACGGGCAAGTTTGCGCATGGATAGACCCTAGCTGGCCTGTCTTCGAGCGCGAGGATGTTTGCCTGGAAGACTGATTCTCGCAAGGTAGCTGTGTCAATCCCATCTTTCACTTCAGCTGAATGGCTCGACCAGCTGAATAGCTCGACCAGCTGAGATTTACAGTATTCCGGCTGGAAGCCAACCTTTGCTTCACAAACATGCCTTGCGCTTACAGCATGGCCATACAAGCAAACTTTGGTGACTGTCAAGGGACTTGCACTGATATCACCCACCAGCTGGCTCGCGATCACAAGCTCTGAATTGAATTCATTTGCTGAGGTGGGAATCTTACCCGAGGTGGACACTAGCTGAGGAGATATCCAAACTTTCCCGCTGGGCATGCGCAGCTGTTGTTCACTACAGTACCGAGACATTGGAATCGGCAGCTAGGGTCAAACCTTGAGCCCTTGCAACCTGGAGAAGCAGTAGACCAGCAGATTGAATAAGACGGTAAGACCTGGAAAGCCTGCAGCAGTCATAACAAGAGATCTGCGTAAGCTCAAGGGCGCTGCTGGACTCATGCTAGCGAATCAAGGTGAGAAGCTAGAACGTGATATTTTCCACCATCCCGGCTCAGGGGTTATCCCCTGGAGTTCATGACCAGAGCAGGTCTACGAGATCGCAAACCTAGAACGGCTCAATAGCAGGTCCTCTTGTGCTGTTCGAGCCTTCGGGCATTCGATTCAACAAGTCGGTAAAAATTTTCACGTCGTACTTTCCCAGCAGGATAGCAGCTGGGGAAGTACCATCTATCTTCTACAACAACCTTCAGGTTACATGACCATCGGTGCAGACCATTCTGCTGTTCCTTCGACAACTCTTGGTCCGACGATGACCACTTCAACTTCCTCCAGCAGAGGGCTCCAGCAACCTGAGCTTGATCCGCGGACTTTCGATGGAGGGCGAGGCTGAGGCTGTGAATCATCGTGGTGATGATGCAAAGACTTGGCTACCTGCGAGCAGGAGCCTCATGCCTGCCGGCAGTGGAAAAAGTAGAGACGACGAACGTGCAAGTCGAAATCACAAACAGCTTGACGCCATCGGACAACGCAAACGCCACTGATGTTCGAGACAGCTCTTCATCATTTCTGAAAATCTCACTTCTTGGCATAGTCCTTCATGGCTAAGCTTGAAAGTCAAGCCCTTGAATATTTTCTGTCCCTGGAAGATTTACTTGATCGAGCTCTTACCATCCTTGAAATCATGTCTGCAAACAAAGACAGGGATAGAATGATCAAACTCATTGAAAGTCAATTTCCATTCATCAATAGATTGATGTCGAAAAAGATCATAACAACAAAATTCATTTGCTCTCCCAATGCACTGACCTAATTAGCAACTGCTCTCCCATCCATGTTCTATATTACACCATCGAATGCTGCTGCGGGAGCAGCAGAGGATGTGCTAGGTGATCTTTGCAATCAACGAGATGATCCCAAGAGTGAGGAGAACGACCGACTAGAGCTGCTCGAAGGGCCTGCAGACTTCGGAACCTCTCCTCGTTGAACACGTGCTTGTTGAACGTGATGCAGTAGCCTTGAGACCTCGGAATGCAAAACTACAAAATTAGGTTGAACTTCATCAGCTTCGAGAATGAGAGTATTCAGACAGCTGGGTAAAGTTTGACTCTTTTAAGATTTGGCCGCTCATTCGTTGTCATGGTTGTTGTATTGGTAAGGCGTGTGAAGTTTTGCGTACAAATTTAGTTTTTTATTAGTTCACAATACAGTCATGCTTGCTGATAATCTACTTTGATGATTTCATCCTGTTCGAGATCAAGTCAATCATTACAGGGAATGCCTCCCTTCTGTCCCTGCCGATCTCCAGCTGATCTTCACCGCTTCATCTTCAACACACTGTCCAAGTCCCTGCAACCAGCGTCAGCCTTGATAACATCTGTATACGTAGGCATACCAGGGAGCGAAAAGTTTCTTCTGTTCATCATAGATGTAACAAAACAAATCATGGGACGGGCTGCACTCGTCCAGGTTTGTGCAGACCCAGACCTCCAGCTTGCCCTTCACCGCCAGATCACCAAGTCCACCTGTGGTGTAGTTGCCTTCTTGTGCAGCTAGCGATGCGATAATCTCGTCCCACGTGTGCTTCATCTGGCAGTGGACGTACTTGGGGTTCACAAACCAATACTCGGCCAAGATACCGCCTATCGCGTACGCTTCCCAGCTCATCGAGAACCCCAGCTCCGCTACCGTCTTGTCGGACGTGAACAGGATCTCGATGATGCCGAAGTCGGAGGTGAAGAACAAACTCCCTGGCTCGTGACTTCCGGTCAACGAGGTCAACTCTACCTTGCCCTGGCAGTCCAGGGAAGGCCCTGCGAGGCTCGAGCACTGGTTGATCGTTACGAAGTCAAACCCGTTCTCGAGCGCAAAGGAGGTGAAGTTGAGAGCAATGGAGGTTGCGCCAGGTGGCTGAATCAACCACCTGCAGTTGCTCTCGTCGTCATACAAGCTCCCAGGTCCTGATCCGTCCGACAAAGATCCAACAGCTTCGGCGAAAAGCTGGCAGCGACACTTGCCTATGCATGGGTTGATGGCAGTGCTGCAGATGCTGTCCTGGAAGCTTTCGCATGGGATCTCATGCTCTCCGCTGCGGCAACTCGGCGACGAGCACGCGCTACAAGACGAGCCGGAGATGTACGTGCCAGCAGAGCACTCGATCCGCTTCAGCAGGATGCGCCTGTACTGGCAGCTCTGCCCGGGAGAGAGCGCGAAGGCGTTGACGTCCGTTCGAATGGACTTAGTGAGGCCTTGAAGCTGCAGGACCTGACCAGCGCCTGCCCACCAGTTTGCCGTTGAAAAGACAGTCCCATTGGCCACTACTAGTCCCTCCAGCCCCCAGGAGAACGATCTGATCGCCTCCATGCTGTCGGTGTCGTTAGGAGCGACCTGCCAGCCGGCGGGGAGCTGGAGCATACCACATCGAAGCTTGTTATTCAGCTGTGAGATCGGACCCCTGTAAGGATCCCAGGGAGACGTGTAGTTTTCGATGAGCACAGCGTACTCTCCGCCGCTTGCCGTCGTCACTGCGTAGATTGCTCCGCACTGGTACATCATGCTGTCAGCCTCATCCTGACAGGAGGAGCTGATGTTGCACAAGACAGAGGCAGGGAGAACGCGAGCGCTTGTCGCCAGCATCGAGAGGGCGGGGCAAGGAAGGCAGCGATCGAGTGACCTGTAGTAGCCAGGCTGGCATCTCCAGGAGCACTCCAGCTCGCTCTGTCCTAGAAAGTAGGCAAACTTCGGCTTGCTGGTGCAAGGCACGCAGCTGCTCTGGTAGCGGGACTGACCTACACCGCATCGCCACTGGCATGGCTGATCTGCCGACGAGTTGCCCTGTACGTGTACAGCATTGTCGGGCTTCGGGTATCGGAGGCTGCAGGGAAGGCAGCGGTCGGACGCCTCGTAGAATCCCACTTGGCACTTCCACCAGCATCCGCTGGCGTTGGAGGTGGCTACGGCATTGGCTGGCAGGTTACCAGAGCAAGGCATGCAGAGCTCGCTCCCCTGCCCTTGGTAGCCGGTCTCGCACTCGAGGCGTACTAGAAGCATCCTGATGGCGTACTGGCCGCTGCTGCAGGACCACAGGGAGGAAACTCCGCTCGGCAACATCATGCTTCTAACAAGCTCCGTGCCTGGAGTCTCCTGGTTGCCGCTGCTCATAGCAGTCTGGTAGGCGACTTCATCCCCCAAGAGCAGTCCGTTCGATCCCCAGGGATAGGAGGCTACTACTCGGATGGCATCTTCGTCAGCTGGGGCTACAGCCCATCCAGCTGGGACATCGAGATAATTGATGAACTGCATATTCCGCACATCATGATTATCGTAAAGTGCTCCCGTACGGGCAGCAAAGCCCATGAGTTTGGGCTTGAGGAAGTCAACGTTGGAGCCCTCGGGAGGGGTATGCATGATATCGATGTACTTCTTGCCGTTAACAATCATGACTATGTGATTGGTGGTCGAGTTGATGCTGTTGAATTGTATTTCTGCTTTTCTCCAAGTCCAGTCCTCCATGACAAAGTCTTTGTTGGCTGTGAAAGTTACAAAGTTTCCATCGGTCTGAATTTGGTTTGAATTTGACTGCCCATTCATGGGCCCGTGTACTTGAAAGCTACTTCCGCTGTTCCCGTAAGTGCCATCTCCACTATCATACTCATCACACACAAAGTTGTACCCACCAAACACCTGAGGCTCCCAGGTAGGCAGCTGGTCTTGGTAAGCAAAGAACCAAGTTGAGTCTGCTCCGTTCCCCTGCCCAGCTCGCCATTCAAACGTACACTTCCAGCTGTTCCCAGCAACTGCCTCCCAGTATATGTATCCTTTGGAGCTAGTCTGCAGAGGCGTCAACCGGATGTATTGATTCTGCACGTACTGTCCTGAACTGAACAAGGTTCCTGAGGAGGGCTGGGGCCCAGCTTGTGTCTCGTTGAACACTGAGTTGGTAATGATTTCTGTCTTGCCTGTCACTTGGCTCCCTGTGGGTGGGGTCCAACCAGCTGAAGAGACCTGTGGCTGTGCACCATTGTTCTGGCAGGAGATCTGCAGCGACTCGGGCGCAATGTTGTCAAGGGTCGAGTAAACTTTGCCGTTGTAGCTGACCTCGTGGCGGATCGTTTCCGGGTACACACAATCTGGTCCGTTGGTACCTGGGAAACATGTCCACTCACACGAGCCTGACAGATCTGAAAGTCCAGCTGTAGTGTAGTAAGCGTTTGCTGGGATTGAATTTGAACATGGGAAACAAGCCATCCATTTTGTGCTCATGTAGAATCCTACGTTGCATGCCCAGGGGCAGTTTTCGTCTGCAAATTGACTCGGCTCTGTTGCTGGAGCATACGTCGAGTTGCCAGGGATGGTATTTGAGCACAGCAAGCAGTCGGTGCCTGAAAGGTAATACCCTTGTTCACAGAAGAGTGAGGTTAGAAGAAGATCGGAGCATGAGCTCCACGAACGATATTTGCCCTTGAAGGTCACAAGGGAAATAATGCCCCAAAGAAGCGGATTGTTGCAGCAGTAACAACTCTCAGTGTACCATATGGATCCATCTGCTAGCTGCATGTAACAGGTCCCCCATCGATGCGTTGCGATCACCTGCCTGCTATCCTGAGTGTCGGTCGCCAGCATCCAACCAGCTGGCACTTGGACGAACAGTCCAGCAGCGGTGTTGCAATTATACTGTTCCTCCGGCATGTGCTGGTACAGGGAAGCATAGAATCGATTCCCATACATCAAGCCTTCACATGTCATCGCAAACGAGCCATCTTGACTCCTTGTAGCCTGAGCTTTGAACCCAAAGTCACATGCCCACGCACACCTAGTCCCGTTGGCCCCCTCCTCCAGCCAGTGTGACCTCGCCGGCTTGCCTCCCCCACACGCTATGCACGCACCGTCCTGCAGGAAGTAGCCTGCCTCGCATTGCCACCCGCACTCCGACCGTGACCCGTTGGTCCCTCGTTGCCCGTACGCTACGTACACGGCATGCTCCGGCGCCGTCCTGCACGCTTCGCATCCTCCATCACGGCGAGCATACCCCACCTCGCACTCCCACACACACTCACTGTCACCGTAGCGACTGGGATCAAGCTGGACCGCATAGCGGGCGTTGATAGGGATCGGGTTCGAGCAATTCACGCACGTCGAGTTGTTCCTCAGGTAGTAGCCTGCCGCGCAGTACTCCGACACCAGCAACACTGACCCGCATTGGTCCAGCGACCTGTACATGCCGTTGTAGGCGACCAGCTGCCCGCTGGTCCACAGTTGAGGATATGGATTGCCGTTGTTCGATCCGCTGTACCAGCTGGTGCCGTCTGACATTACAAGGTGGCAAGGCTCCCATGTGTACAGCCATGTCGCAAACTGGCTGCTCGACGTGTCCGGCGCTATCATCCAGCCCGTCGGGATCTCTTGCAGGATGTTGTGCGAGCACGAGCACGATGACGGGCTGTAGGGCGACGACCCGTCGAGCGAGGCAAAGTACCGCCCCTCTACCTCAGCCGGCTGACACTCTCCGTCGCCCGCCCTGTAGAAGCCGAAGTCACATGCCCACGCACACCTAGTCTCAAGGTTTCCGTTATTCAGCCAGTGTGACCTCGCCGGCTTGCCTCCCCCACACGCTGTGCACGCACCGTCCTGCAGGAAGTAGCCTGCCATACACGCGGACTGACATTCGTACTGCTCACCTATCTGGTATGTCAGCTCGACGTATTCTGTGTTGGGCTGAAGCTTGTTGTCACAGGGAAGGCATTGGTCTCCCGATCGCTTAAAGCCAGCAGCGCACGTGAAGCCACAGGTCAGCAACAGAGCCTCTTCTGACTCTAAGGCCATCCCGTACGACGCGTGGGCTGGCAGAGTATTGCTGCAAGGGATGCAATTTGTGCCGCTGCGCTCGTATCCAGCTGCGCAGTGGATGGAGACGAGCAGGAGGTCTTCGTTGCAATCAATACTCCTATACATGTTGTTGTACAAAGAAAGGGAGCCCCAGCAACAAACGGTTGGGCTAGAGTATGCTCCACAGGAGGACGAAGCAGTGAACCATCTCGAGCCATCTGACAGTACCAGCCTGCATGATCCCCACGTGTACATCCACGTCACCTGCTGGCTATGTGCTGAGTTGGATGCCAGCTCCCAACCTTGAGGTATCGACAAGTAGGGCTCGTTGATACAAGTCGATGGGTCATCTTTCCCTCGACCACTTAGTGTGGTGTAGTATCTCCCTTGAAACTCGACTCCGACGCATCTTCCGCCTCTTTTCATGTAGCCAAAGCGGCAGGCCCACTCGCACAACTGCTCATCCCCATCGTTTGACACGAAGAAGGCGAAGTCGGGCAAGTTCAGCTGGCATGCTTTGCATTGGCCACCTGCTATGTAAAAACCTGCCTGACACACCCATGGACAAGAGTAGCCGTCACTTGGCGTGTACACGGCATTCTCAGGAGCTAGAGAGCAAGGAGTGCACGAATTGGTTGCGAGGGATAGATAGTACCCATCCTCACATCGCCATCCACAGTTGTCTTCGTTTGAAGGATGCCCACTACTGTTGTAGATCGTGTGCGCTGGCTTGTAACTGCTACATGCCGTGCACTGAGAGTTGTTGCCACCTCGCCAATACCCAGCAAGGCAAGATTCTTGCACCAGCAGGATGGTACCGCAATAGTCGCGAGATCTGTAGAAGCCGTCAAAGCTGTACAGCTCACCCCAGGTGTATAAGCCTCCATATACGGTATACCAAGCGGTGCCATCCTCAAGAATGACTCTGTCTGCTCCCCACAGATAAGTTGTAGCAACGTCGATGCTCTCAGCTGTGTTGGGGGCAATCTTCCAGCCAGCTGGCAACTCCCGAGCGGCCTGCCAAACACATACACTGGTGTCGTAGGGGCTCCTGCCATCCAAGCTTGCGTATCGCTGGCCAAGATTTTCGACTGTAATGTCCTCACAATCTCCTGCAGGATCCTGTCGATACCCAAAGTCACAAACCCATGAACAAGTTGGACCCTCCCAATGAGCGTTGACAGGAAGTGACGCCTTGCATGGCTCGCATCGCTGGCCATCAACCTCAAGGTATCCTGACAGGCATGCCCATGGGCAGCTGATTGCCTTTGCAGGGACGCCTGAACCAACATACACAGAGTTTGCAGGTTTCTTTGTACATTGCGCGCATGTGGAGCCTGTTGAGTAGTAACCTTCTGCACAGCTCCATCCACAGCTGTCAGGCTGCTCCGGATAAGGGGACAAGACGTACTGGGCTCCTGATGGAAGCATGTTTGTGCAAGGGACGCATGACGAAGAGTTCGAAGCTAGTTCAGAGCCTGTGGACGAGCTCCGCTTGTACCCAGCTGCGCAGACTGGAGCAAGTAGAAGCACTCGAGCTTCACAGTCTGTCGAGCGGTAATGGATATCATCGTATGTGGACAGAGATGAGCCCCCCCAGTATGATCCAGGGTAGTAGCTGAAGTAGTACATGTAGGAGTCGCCATAGGAGAGAACACTGCGAGTGAAATAGCTGGAGCCACTGGCAACGACGAGGCGGGCTGCCCCCCACTCATACCCAGCTGTCACTCTAACGCTGATGTCGTTGTCGGGTGCAATCGACCATCCATCAGGCAGCCCCAGATACTGTTGGTAGTCAGACACGCACGAGAACCAGGAATAGTGCGAGTTGGGGCCGTACCCACCTAGCGTTGAGTACGTGAAACCTCCTTCCTGCACGACCGTCTGCCAAGCACAGCTGTCAACGTCTTCTCTGAGCCCTCCTGTTGTGTAGATGGCGTCTCCTGACCTGCTTGTACAAGGCAAGCAGCTGCTCCCAGATTTGTAGAATCCGACATTGCAGACCCATCCGCATTGATCGTTCACATAGCTAGCGTGATTCGGACTCCCATCACACTGCACGCAGGCGTCACTTTGCTTGTAAAATCCTGGCTGACAGATCCAAGCGCATGCGACGGTGGACCCTCCATAAAATGGAGAGTAGGAGGAGTTTGCAGGGATAGAGTTGTTGCAGACTTGACATGGAATGTTGATCAGCGATTCTGGAGAAGGAGCGTTTGAAACAAGAAGTCGTGACTGGGTCGCCGGCATGTTGAAGCTGGCGAGCGTTGATCCTTTCCCATCAGACATGATGTACAATGATGAGAACTGTTCGACCTTTTTGCCAACAGCTACCCGCAAAGAGTTGTTTGCAAAGAAAGTGACCTCGAAGATGAGATTCGGCTGCCCTGGGACGCCCCTAGTGGACGAGGTTCCTTCGAATCTCAGCACATAAGCTTGAACATCCATCTCCTCGACCGGGCTTCCTACGATGTACTGGGCTGATGCATCCCCTCCCCCCACAAAGAGAGTCGGAAGGGGAGGTCTGGAGGCTGAGAGTGACGAAGAGAGCGAGGATGGCCCACCGAAAGTCACGTATCCATTCGATGAGACGTACAGCGATGATGCGTAGTCGCGTCCTTGCAGGCAGAAGGAGAAGTTGAGATCTGGGAGTTTCCAGCTGTCATCATCGACGGATGTCGGCGGTAGAATGGTTGTCCAGTTGAGTTTTTCATGAGCCAGGAAGGAGAAGTTGAGGAGAGATGTGCTCTGGGGCCCGTAGAAATGTGCTAGCGCTTCTTGCGTTTCAGCTCCGTCAAGGAACAAGGTGGAGCAACCCCTCCTGGATTCTCCCTTAGGACAGCCAGCGTACACGATCAGGATTCTCATGTTGCAGGATGCAGGCCAGTACAATCCATTTGCACTACGCAGAGCAGAGCTGCTGTGTGGACACCAATAACAGTTTGTTTGGTATGCTGTGCCACTTGCAAGCACCATGTACTGAGTACCCCAGCTGTAGTAGCTCACGACAGATATGGAGTCTGAGTCCTCAGGGGCGATGGCCCAGCCCAGCGGCAGCCTCATCGCCGTGGTCTGGCAGTCTGCCATTGTATTGGTCTGCGCCATTTGATATTGGGCTCCATCTAAGGCAGCGTATTGCCTTCCATTGTAGGTGATGCTTGCGAGATCGTCGCCGAGTCTCTCCAGCTGGTCCGTAGCAGTCTGCAAGGTAAGTCAAATATGTCTTGGACTGTCAACCCCTCCGAGGGTTGAATCGCGTACCGGGATGTTGTCGACGAGAAGGGAGAGGGAACTCGCGGCCTTGTTGGGCTCAGAAGCAGACCGCACCGACGCGTGGGTCCTTCGCTGACTTCTCGGAGCAGGTCGTCCACGAGAGGAAGGAAACAGTGCTCTGGAACGATGAGATTCACTTCTCTGTCGCCCTTGGGCTGATCTGTAGTGCTGATGCTCTTGGATGATATCCTTTTCTTGAGCAATCTTACCTTGTAGCTCCTGGAGGCGTGAGGAGTAGGTAGGAGGAGATAGCAGAGAAGAAGCACTTGATAAGCATGAGATATTCAGCAGTACGCATGACAGCATGCAGAGGACACGGTGACACATTCTCGTTTTCATATCGATGCGTTTGTTGCAGAACCTGCCAGCAGGAAAAAGACAGTCAGACCAGACGAAGGAATATCAAGAAGTGAATGAGCAGGCGTATAACGGGAACGCTTCTAAGGAGGAGGAAGAGGAGAAGGAGGAAGAGGAGGAGGAGGAGGAGGAGGAGGAGGGAGGGGT